CAGATTAACCAGCCTTCTGCATTTTAAAACATATGTTATTATCAATCGTCGGTGTGGTGACGGATTAAGAAATTAAGAAATACGGAGTGTCACCGCCCCTATTCATCCCAAGGGTGTAAGAGACGACTAGAAGAGCAAACTACGCAGGAAAACAGCAAACAGCACTGCAAAGAGAAGGAACACTCGACACCAACTCTATACCAAGCCGTCTGGCCAACGTGGTATGGTAGCGCAAACACTCCTTTCTATTAAGAGGCCTATGTCCCGCAGTGGACTATTAAAAGCTGTTGATGATGATTGACGATATTATTAATCAGTATCAGAAAACCTTGAACATGGATTAGTTAGTGTAGTTCTAACAGTGAGTCAGTCATTTTTATTTGGGGATTTAACATTTACTAACTAAAAAAACTGACACCGAGTATATAAACCTACATGGTCTACACAGCGAGTCTGGTAACCCTGGAGAGGTAGACTTAACTAAATGATAGATATTGGATCTCGTCGATAGGGTCAGTCTGTCCGCCTGTGCCCTCATCCAGAGCAACCTGGTCGAAACATAAAGCGTTTCAAAGATAAATTCCAGTAAATATAATTTGATATGAAACAATAATTTGTTTTTTTTTTAATTCTCGGCACTTATGTAGATTTTATAGTCGATATATAGACCGATATTAATATAACTGACTTCAAGACGCCTATTTCGTGAAGAATTATAACAAACTGTATTCTTCATTTTTCACCATTAGGGGTGGAATTTGGTTGGTAACATCGTGGTTTCCACACAGGAGGGGTCATTTACAAGCCGTAGATGGCCCGGGATCCGTCAGGGTACTAGGGAATGCCTTCCTAATGTACAGCTGGTTCCCCGGCTACTGGTACGACATAACCACCCTTGACATACTCGAAGGGATTTCTGAGCAGAAAAAATGAAGTGACATTTAAATGGGACCAAACGAGAAGTTTCAAACAGAATTCTGAGGTAACAAACAGGTGAATCGAATCTGGCAAACCGACATTGTGAAGTAGCGCTGAAATAAAATCACAATCACCTGTAATAGATCATGACTTAATAATCACAAAAGTGACAACTTAAAAAATCACTGCGACTTATGATTACGCTAGCTAGTCTTTGATAAAAAGAAAATTCTATATTTTTGGTTTTTTCTTTGCTTAAGTATTGATGGCATTTATCTTTGTCTATCACCAAATCACAGTAGTTATTTATCATAGGTGATATCGCAGTGACTACCCAATCAATTCAAGAAATGATTATGATTTAAAAGTACCAATAAATAAATAACATTTTCGCACATCTGACACACAACGCCATCTAGCTTCAAACTAAGCAGAGCTTATAACTATGAAAACTAGATTGACTGATAGAATACTTATATACTTTTTTCTGTAAATACATATATATTATACATAGAAAACACCCGAACTCCGAAACAAACATTTGCAGATCATACAAACATTTGGTCCGACCCGGGAATCGAACCCGAGACCTCAACACAGCAGTCGCATACGCTACTACTGCACCACCGAGGCAGTCAATAATTTCCACCACTTATGTGAGGTGTATTTAAGTGGTATGTATAATAATAATATTTCGTACACCTGACACACAACGCCATCTAGTTTATACAAGGTGTAAGGGACATCGTACCGAATACTGAAATAGTGTATTCAGACTATGATTCTGAATATCATTAAAAAAATCTGGTTAAAAATGATAAAAAATGATATCACAATGAGTAGACAGTAAATTTTACCGAAAACAATTTAATGAATACCAAAAAACTGCAATGTAATTAATTAAACAGCCGAAGCGCGCAGGGCCTCTCCTCCGGCCGCCATTTTGAGTAAGTGTGCGTAGACTGTTTGCACGGAATACACATGTAGTTATTACTTTTGTGCGATACTTACGGGGAACGACCTTAACCTTTGACAGCTGATTGCATAAAAAAAATCCAATGATTTACGACTCAGAATGATGGTCTGAATACACTATTTCAGTATTCGTTACGACGTAACTTACACCATGTATGATTATTTGGTGTCACACTTTGTATGTAAATATATTAAGTACACCTCACACCTGGGTGTCCTATAACACTTGTATATACTCTAGAGTGTTTAAAAGGTACTTAACACACTCTTTCCTTCAAAATTAAAACTAAAGGTGGTCAATTTTCGAACATTAATTAGCTATATACTCGTATAACTATTCAATCGCCACTATAAGTTAAACTGACATTTCATACCATGACAGGTCAACGTATACTGGACGTATATCTGTATGTAGCCGTAATCGTCTATTTATAAAAAAAAGTATTAAGATATGTTGTTACAAATAATAGTTTTTTACGTTTTTTCTTCGTATAAACTTGGGTATTGTACGAAAAATTTTCTTAAAAATGTGAAGAAAAATTGCATCCTGTATTAATATATAAACGATCACTGTGGCATTGTGCGGGATCATGTGATTGTAGCGTCAGAGATTTTGGGTTCATTTCCATGCAAATATTTGTAAATATGTTCATACCAGCTGTTGCCCGTGACTTCGCTTAATTTTCTCATTTCGTGTTTCAAATTTTGAAAATGATGAAATTAAGTGCAACCGTTAATGCCTTATTTTCCCCCTTAGGAGTGAAATTTTCAAAAATCCTTTTTTAATGGATGCTTTAAATACAAAAAGTATCAGCTGCCAACATTTTAAGTTTGTAGTTTCAGCCTTTCAGGCTGTGCGTTGATGAATCAGACAGTTAGGGCAAGTAATTTTGTATTGTATAGATTACTATTTACTAGGGATAGAAGATAAAAAAATACAATCACATGTAAAAATCATATGATTTATAAATCATATCAATCACATGTGACTTTTCTACAAAACCACTGCTACTTAATCATTATTATTACGGCAGGGCAAGACTCACGAAATGTCTAAATCTAAAAAAAAACCTTGATAAACAGAATTTTGACTGACTTTAACGCCATTTATCTTTGCCTATGACGAAATCACAATCACATGTGAAATCGCTGTGGCTAAAACCAATCATTTCATCAAATGAATTTGATTTAAAAGTAGCAATAATTTATGTGTCTACTATTTATTACACTACTTATTATCGAGTACTCATCTGTGATCTGTGTCCACCAATACTTATTTTGTATGATCCGAACACGATATTCAAGAAAAAAAGTGTGTGTGTCAGCTCCGACGCACGACTGGAGTTTACTCGTTAAGAACGATTCGGCTGCACACAAGTATACAACTTATATACACACACATGTGAAAGGTGCGCACGACAGGTTGCGCACAAAAACGTGACGAGGTCATTTGATCACTAAATTTTACTCTTCATTTTTTTTTTTCACACCGAATTTTATGAATTAAAAGACTATTGGCAGTAAAGCTGGCAGTAAGCTATTATTGATCGAAAATACAAAAAAAAATGACCTGTACAACATATGAGTATGTTTTTAGCCATCTTGTATATATCTTCTCAATACTTGTTAATAAGTATAAATAATAAATTAACCAAAATCAACACTACAACCAGAACTTATATTTAAAACATGCTGCAATACTCGTACACAAGTGCCTTAAAACAAGGGTATAATTGTTTAAAAAAGTGTTTTAAGATAAGTAACACACAGGATTACAAATCTTATAAAATATTCAGACATTCAAGTATTTGATTTAAATACTTTATTGTGAGCCATAACGATTTCATATTATTTATTTATTTCTTAAAAAAAAAACAATATTTATTCAAAAGCTAATAGTTTGGAATAGAGGAGTAGCTTATCTTTTAAGTAAAATAAAAATAAATAAAACTACAAAGATTAGTACGCCATGCTTTGTCTCAAATGAGCCAGCTCTGTCCGTGTGGTGACGGATCAGGAAAACGGAGTGTCACCACCCCTATTCATTCCGTGGGTGTCGTAAAAGCCAAATAAGGGAGCAAACTACGCAGGACAACAGCACTGCAAAGAGAAGGAAAACTTGACACAAACCCTATACCAACCCGTCTGGCCAGCGTGGCATAGTAGGCCAAAACCTCCTTTCTAAGAAGAGGCCATGTCCAGCAGTGGACTATTAAAGGCTGTAGATGTGATGATGTGTGATGAGCCAGGCTCGACCGGAGTGATACCACGGCCTCACAGAAAACCTGTGTTAAGCAGAGCCCAGTGCAAGTTTATTTTACATCGACTCGCTCTCGACGGCGAGCGCGTTTAGCGTTGCGATTGGTGGAGATTTTAGTGTGGGCCAATCGTAGCGCCGAACGCGGTCACCGTGGCGATCGAGTAGATGAGAAATAAACTCGCACTTGGTTCGCAGTTCTTTTGTTACTTTTCACTGAGTGAGTGAAATTCCCGGAGCCCAAACCACCTGATCCTAGGGCGGCAACGTACTTATGACTCCTGGGTTGCAGGTGTTCACTTACCATCAGGTGACCCGTCTGCTTGTAAGCCTTTTATGCCATAAAAACAAAGGTCGCTGTCAGATCTCCTTCTACCTTCAGCAGGGCTAAGTGCAGCGCTGTTTTACTATTAATATAAGTTACTTCTTAGCTAAAGGTCATATAAGTCCTTGAATCATTATAAAATGCTGCTCCTTTATTCCAAAATATTCCTCAAACAAAAACTAACAACATTAACTCATACTGTAAGACGCTAAACAATCATTCAACTAACACCATCTCGTCTACGCCTCATACCTACTCTTACTCCTCTATCTCCTTCTTCTCTTTTAAAGATGGTCACATTGATCTCGTTGGACATCAAGAGGTGTCTATCATCAGGTCTTTAATCCTTAGATTATTAAATTACAACTCATCATCAGCCTATGCTGTCCACTGCTGGACATAGGCCTCTCCCATTGCACCAAACTTCCTTCCTTCCTTTATTTTTAAACTTGTTTTACTGTGAACTCAAAGACTATAATTCCTTACTATTATAGAATATTATTATCTAATAAGCATGTGTATCTTCTACTCCCATCGACTCCTCTTGCCACTCTTTCTGATTCTCTCTGCCTTCTCTTCGCTTGATTGCGATGCGGGTGCGTTAACGCCTGGCTGTATGACAGGGCGGGTTTGTTCCCAGGAGTGGTCTGAGGAGGCTGTGAACTGGAAACAAAGAAAATAGAAAAGTTTAATGTCAATTCAAAAGAAGAGTCTTGTTAAACATGTTTTAACATGTTCAAAAAGGACATAGATCTTATTTGCAAATAGTATATAAAGTATTAAGCGTCTTAAAATAACGCATACAATTTTTAACTTAGATTTCAATATCAACATTACCATCATTTCATAGTCCACTGCTGGACATAGGCCTTGGCCTATTACACCATACGGGCCAGACGGGTTGGTATAGGATTTGTTTCAAGTTTTGCTTCTCTTTGCAGTGCACAAAGATGTTATATTAATATCGATAAGGCGATACTCTAGTCAATTGTCTGTATGTAACTTTGAAGCTTTTAATTGATTAATTATAATCATAATATAATAATAACCTCACACATCACTTACACGACTGTGTGATCCCAAACAAGGCAGAACCTGTGCTATGGTAACCAGACTGCTGGTAAACATACTTATATATTTCTAAATACATACATAATATAGATAAATTATACCCAGACACAGTACAAACAATCGTGCTTTTGACACAAATATTTGCCCTGGGTGGGAATCAAACCCACGACCTCCGGCTTAGCAGTCAGAGTCACTAACCACTAGACCAACAGGCCCGTCTTTAAGACTTGATTTAAAAAAAAGTTGTTTATAAAAAATGAAAAAATTCGCACGTTTATGCAGAGATAAGGTGACTTGCGCAGTAAGAGCAAGACAGCAGATCAGACCTCTAGGGGTGGGCCAGGTCATGAATATCATTGAAGTACCTGGTTGTACTGCGAGCGGAAGGCAGCCTTGAGCGAGGCGAGGCGGTCGGTGGCGGGCCCGTGCTTGTCCAGCGCCGCGGCCGGCGACGGCTCCTCCTTGTGCGGGAGCCCCGGCCGCTCCTTGTACCTGCACAAGCGTTCACTGATGTGTAGTCAGGACAATAAGAGACCAATCAAAGCAGTGTACCAGTGTACCAGTGTATCAGTGTACAACGCTTAAACGGCCACGTCGCTTAATACCTCTACGTTTTGTATTGTAGATTGGATCCCCACATGGCATAATTATTTTTGTAATTGACCAATACTTATCTGCAAAGCAGTCTTTGAGGAGGTCGAGGCCCCTGGACACAGAAAAACTTGGGGCCCCATTGGGACAATACCCTTTTTTAATTACCAAAGGTTAAACTTTACGAATTGTATATTGTATTTAGATTGTACCACTGATAATTGACATCGGAAATAAATATGACTGACTAAAAATATATATTTATATTTAGAAGTAGAAGTATTTTTTTAAAATATGATATAATCTTGGGGGCCCCATAGTATGAAGTTTGGGGCCCCTCAGATAAAATGCCCTGAGCACGTACAAGTGTCCTTATAGAAAAGACATACTGATTATCTGTCCGATTAACCTAATTAGGTTTTTTAAGTTGAACAATGTAAAGAAGTCACTGTTATCATTAGATCAGATGAGACCTAATATGATACGTACCCGAGTCCACAGCCGCCAACATTTAAATTCTTGCCTTTGCCCTTCTTGAAGCGCGACTTACGGAACCAGGCTGACTGCATCGCGAGCTGCATCAACTCTTCAGGTACTTCCTAAATACAAAATAATTTTAATTTAATAAATTATACATGAAAATAAATTATTCTCTATTTTTATTAGAACTATAGGACTATAGGAATTATAATTTTAATAATTACTGAAGTTTTTGTAAAAGGCTATCTCCCATTATTCTCTTATTATAGAGGTCTGAAAATGACATGAGAAGAGAGCAATTTAAACAAGGTGATAGGAGATTTTTGACATAAGGTAAAAGCAATTCATCGTTGGAAATATTAAATCGAAGGTCTCGGACTTCTCGGCCAGTCAGTTCGAGTTAATAATAATAATAATATTCTACCACATTCACACAACACCATCTAGTCTCAAACTAAGCAGAGCTTGTACTATGGCTACTAGACAGCTGATATAAATACATGTATACGTTTTTTTTTGTAAATACATACATATTATACATAGGAACACCCAGACCAAATCAAACATTAAACGTTCATGCACACAAATGTTTGACTTCAGCGGGAATCGAATCCGCGACCTTTAGAATAGCAGTCCGTTACACGAACCACTACGTTATCCGGTCGTTACAGATACGACCACGGTGTTTATGCAAAATAGTCGGTTTCGTCGACTGTTCAACCGCGTGTGACCGCTCGGATGGCATTCCTCATAACTATAAATCTATGAATGAAAGCGGCCGGGCACTGACCTGCTGCACGCCCTCGAGGTTCCTGAGCAGGTGGCCGGCGAAGTCCTTGTCCTTGTCTCGCGCGAGCAGCGTCCAGGCGTCCCCTTGCACGCCGGCGCGTCCCGTGCGTCCCACGCGGTGCGTGTGCGTGTCGATGTCGCGCGCCACCACGTAGTTCACCACCGTGCGGATGTGCGGGATGTCCAGCCCGCGCGCTGACATCGCCCACCGTTATTATCGTTCACTAGTTACTCTAACACTATCACCCACTGACGTTCCACTAAATTATAACATTCGACTCGATAAATACATATGAGTGAGTTGATTTGGAACTAATTTTTTAAAACATTTTGGTCCTTCGAGCCAGTTTAGAAAACCTGACCTAAACCCGATTACTGAGGTAAGAAGAAAAAGCATTTAGAATTGAGTCGATAAATTAAAAACTTTATCAATTATGATATTATTTAAATAGACAAGACAAAACCTATTAACAAATGACATACAAGTCTACTTTTATTAATTAAAAACAAAACTTACCTGCAACATCAGTCGCAACGAGTATATTATTTTCTTTCCTTTTGAACGCCGTAATAACCTTATTCCTATCAGCCTGCTCCATATCTCCGTGAAGAAGTAAGGCATCATACTGTTGCACACCAAGGTTTGCTGCGGTCTGTTCAGCTTCTAACTACACAATACAAAAAGCAAAAAATTCTTATAAATTGACCTTAGAATAATTATATTTATTATTATTAATCGTAAAAGCCACTTCTTAATTACGATTTAAGTTAAATGATATTTAATTTTATTTAATTAAGCCCAATCAATAATAGTTTTAAATAAATTACAGGCAAATGAAAATCGAAACACTCAGACATTGAAAATACCTTTTTCGTGACGAAAATTAACACGCTCCCTGCTGACAGGAATTCAACTAAATTGTGAAGTAACCACGACCATTTCTCCTCTGGTTTGTTGAATATTCTGTAACACAACATTTTTACGTATGTTTCAAATGATGTTAGCCTTTGAATGCCTTTACCATATATTGTCCTCAAAACTTACAAGCTTTACATTATAATTTTTTATACTTTCATATTAATAAAAACATCTTTTAAGAAATATATGTAGCTTTCTTAAAAAAATCATCATGCATTAAATTATACTCTGTGCAAAGTATAAAAAAATAACAAAGTGTTCCACAGGGTACTATTCTGGGGCCTAGTTAAGCTCACCTAACATGCTGCCGGACCAGATCACTAGCTTCTCCTGCTGCGCCATGTTGAACTCTTACGGGATCGTGCAACGCATCACGAGCTAAACGTTCCACTCTCCGAGGGAAGGTGGCAGAAAACAGTAAGGCTTGGCGATCAGGTCGCACGTGGTTGCAAATGGAACGGACTTGCGGCTCTAGAAATAGAATTCTGATATTAATATGGTTTGTTTGCCAGTAATAAATAGTAATCAAAGTGGCAAAAGTACATTTTTTGTAGGTGCATAAATAACTGAAGCATTTAAAATCCTACCTTCTGAGGTAATAATAAAAAAAACTTTACTAAATTATTTGATACTTACCGAACCCCATATCGAACATTCTGTCAGCTTCATCAAGCACTAAGTAAGTGACCCGCTGCAAATTAGTCGCCTTACATTTGATCAGGTCGATCACACGGCCGGGGGTACCCACCACTATTTCTGCGCCACCACCTGGACAAACAAATATATTTGAAAGATTAAAAATTTGATAGATATAAGCTGATTATCTACGGACAATCGCATGCCCTTACATGAATCTCTTACTTTATCTGTATTTTAGCACATTTTTTATGGTTTAAAAGGGAAACAAGAAAGCGGGTGACCTCATGGTAAGTGATGTAAATTTACTTCCTAATTCTAAAAAAGCTTTTCATCATTATCATCTCCATTGTTAAGTTACATGTATTCACGTACCTTCTAATGCCTTGACCTGTTCCCATTTGGAACCACCTCCATAACAGCACACACATCTGATATTGTACACCTTGCCGAAACGCTTGGCCTCCATGTAAATCTGGGGAACAATTGATGCAAAAATTTATAGATACCAAGTTGTTTGTATTTATTTTATGCTAAACAAATGGGATTTTTCGCAATATGAATACATATAATTTTAATTGACATCAATAATTTCACCAGTTTGTAAATTGAATTGTTTCTGCACATCATCATCAACAGCCTTTAATAGTCCACCGCTGGACATAGGCCTCTCCTTAGAAAGGAGGTTTTGGCCTACTATACCACGTTGGTCAGACGGGTTGGTATAGGGTTTGTGTCAAGTTTTCCTTCTCTTTGCAGTGCTGGTTGTACTGCTTTAGCTTCCTTAGTCGCCTCTTACGATACCCACGGATTGAATAGGGGTGGTGACACTCCGTATTCTTAATCCGTCACCACACGAATTCATTTAAACAGAATTCATTTTTGGAAAGTTATGTTTGACTTCATTTAAAATGTTTAAGGAGAGTATTTTTTAATATTACAAACTTGGAAGTTTAAAACTCTGTAAGAGAAAACATATAAGTGGACAGCCATTATTCCAAGCTTATATTTCTTATTCCAAAAACGTGTAATACAAACCTGTTGCGCTAACTCCCTAGTTGGAGCCAATATGAGCCCAATAGGGCCATCGTTTGGAGCCAATTCCTTCTGGTCCATGATATGCACCAAAAGTGGCCATAAGAATGCCGCCGTCTTACCAGAACCAGTGCGAGCGATACCTGTTTAAAATTTTTAGATATTTAAGTAACAAACATTTAAGGGATAAGTGATCAGACGGTTAACGGGTCATCACCAGTGTCGGTAGTCGCTTACGATGGTAATCACCGCCCATGGGTACGCAACTCAAGAGGCACAAGTGCATTATCGCCTTTTAAGCGCATCGCCTTTAAAAGGAGGGGGGTTTGTCCTCCAATAACCTCACTCACTCAGTAAAATGTGACGAAGGAATTACTTAACACAGGCCAAAAAGTGAGGCCGTTGAATTATTCTGGTCCAACCAGGTCATACTTGACGAAACATGGCTCTCCCATACCAAAGATTACATTTCTATAGTATTTTAAGAGATTTTAGTTGTGGTGACCAAGTGTAGAAGAAGTATGTAGTGTGTAATGATCCATCAGCAAAGGAAAAAAGAGAGAAAGTATAAACTCCAACCAACCTATAATATCTCTTCCTGACAGTGCAGCAGGGACACCAGCGGCCTGCACTGGAGTGGGCTGCGTATATTCAGAGCGGCGGATAGCTCGCATCAACTGCTCGTCGAAACCAAGATGGGCAAAGCTGCTAACTGGGCGCGGAGGGTCTGGACCAGATATCTAGACAACAATACAGTTTATTATGTAAAACATAACTGAGATTGATTTTGAATAAAACTAAGTTACTAAAGTATTGTTACATGATGAATATAAAAATTACATATATACTATACTAACACATATTTCTTTACTGACTAACCAGTCCACGCACAGTCTAAGCCACAGGCGTCATCCCCCCCCCCCCCCCCCCCAATAACCCTAAGTCATTTTAGAAATATGAAATTTAACACAAAGGGTTTTTAAATGACGTAAGTGAACCCTAAGAACTAACTTTTAAACATACATTGTCTAAGTGTTCAAGGTTAAGTTCAAAAATTTATAGAAAACGAGTCTCTTAACAGTTTAATCCTATGTTATTAATCAATTTTCTTTATTTTTGTTTAGTGGTTCTTTTTCTTTAAGACAAATCTCGCACTAGGAATAAATCCTGTGTCGCGAGGGACTTTACAAAAATACATGAAACGAACACAAAGAACGCCCAAACTCAGAACAACAATTCATAGATCACACAAAGTGTTGTCCCATGTGGGGATCAAACCCACAACACTCAGCACAGTAGGAAACGGCGAGGTGACAGCTTAAACCACTACGCCATCCGTGCAGTAAAAGTTATTGAAGAGCTTTAAGGATATAAAACCTAACTTTTGCCCGTGGCTTCACTCGCGAAATTACTTATTATTTCGTGATTCTAACTTTGAAAATAACGCACTTCCATACAACCGCTTATCCCATCCCATCCCATCCCATATTTAACAAATTACCAGAATCCTTTCTTAGTGAGTGGTTTTATTTTTATTTATTTATTATGGACAAAAAACAGTTATACATTACACATACCAAAAAATTAAAAATTTACATATCTGAAACGTATAACCCACACTATTGTCCACGAAGTTATAGCTGGAGGAGAAAAGGTAACGGACGCGCGTTATACAAAAAAAGGTAAAGTATATATTATAAGACAGATAGTTAATTAAAAAAAAAATGTCATCAGCAAGAAATTTAAAAGCTTTTAAAGCTTTAAACATAAAAAGCATTAGCTGCCAAAATCTCAAATCTGTAGCCACAGCGGTTTAGGCTGAATGAATCACAGTTAGCCAGGGCAAGTAAATTTATAAGTATTGATGTTATAAAATCTAATAAAATGATTTTTAGATAAATGTAAACCTGGTTTTTTGGATTACGAAACTAAAATATGTACAACACAAACCTTGACTCCTAAATTCTTCTTCAATTCCTCAACCTGCTGTGATGTTAAATTCTCGATATCTTCATGTGGAGTGTAGAAGTTCTTCTCAAAAGGCTCATACTCAATTTCCGAGTGGTCTATGGGAGGTAAGGGATCGATAAACTTCTTCTTTGGGGGAGGTATGGGGTTGCCATCTTCGTCATACTCTATTTCTACATCAGATCCATCATCACCAGTATTAAGGGGATTTTCTTCCATATACCTGTGGGTGGTTGTTATAGTTAGTATATGGTTATTTTAGCATTGACATGAATACATTTTCTGCTGTTAAAAGATGTGTTGCAACAAAAAAAATCAGGTTCGACAAAAATTGTAGTTTACCAACTTGTTTTCATGCTTTGCGTCGTGGGCAAAATATTTTAATAATAATATACCTGGATTACGAAAAAGCTTTTGACAAGGTACCTACACAAAGACTGTTCTAAAAACTAGAACATGTGGGAAAACGCGGCAAGCTACTGAAATGGATTGAGACTTTCTTACAACAAAGAACTCTGAAAGTGCGTATTGGAGAAACGTTCTCAAGCCACCGCATAGTTTATAGTGGTGTGCAGCAGGGCTCAGTACTGGGCCCTGTATTATACATAGTATACACCTTCGATCTTCCGCGTTGCTTGTAGTGTAGTTTCAGATTTTGTGGATGACACGAAAATATTTGCAAACCCACTTCTTGACTACGAAAAAAGAAGACCTAAACACAATAGAAAACCGGTCTAAGGAATGGCCCATAAATCTTAGTGCCTCAAAATGCAGTTTTGCATATAGTACGTTGGAATCCCCGTCTGGCCTATAGGTTGGATTACAACGAGCTGAGAGAGGCAAAGATGAGGTGGACTTGGATGTTGCAATGACAGAGGACTTGAAATGGGCAGACCATATAACATTGATTGTTAAGAAAGCTAAAAGCTTAATTTACCTCATTAGAAAAACCTTTGGAATTATAACACTAGAAATGACCCATATTGGAGTATGCATTCCTGATCTGGAGCCCATATCTCGTTAAGGACATTTAACTTCTTGTTCCACACTGTTTCTTCTGCATATCAATGATATGTTACGAACTAGTGACATCCATTGCCATGCAGATAATAGCACGGGAGATGCCTTCTATACCGGCCGTCTCAATATTTCTCGGGAAAGCCTCATCGAGAGTCGAAACGAACTTGTGTCTGAAGTTGAAGCTTCCTTAGCGGAAGTTTCAGCTTGGGGTCGACTGAATCTGGTCCATTTTAACCCAAAAAAGTTCGATAGTATCTCCCTAACTGCTTCAGCCAGTATTGCAATTCTAGGCTTCAAGATATCGAGCAAAGTCCAGTTTCGCGGTCATTTAGAGGGTAAGGTCAAATTGGCCTCGAAGAAGCTCGGTGTGCTGAACAGATCGAGGCAGTATTTCACTCCAGCCCATCGCCTCCAACTCTATAAGGAGCAAGTCCGACCGCATATGGAATACTGTTCTCATCTCTATGCAGGGGCACCACAGTACCAGATTCTGCCTCTTGACCGAATCCAAAGAAGAGCGACTCGAATCGTCGATAGCCAAAAGATTTGCGACCGGCTCGATCCCTTGGCGTTACATAGAGATGTAGCCTCGCTCTGCATCTCAGGATGGAGAGTGCCCCGAAGAATTGTTCGGACTAATACCGGCCGCAACCTTCCGCCATCGTTCCACACGCCAAAATTTTCATCTCCACTACTTGGATAATTGGCGCTCCACTACTGTGCGCTTTTCAAGACACTTTTTGCCTCGCACTACCAATCTTCGGAACAAGTTATCGGCTGCGGTATTTCCCGACCGATACGACCTTCAAACCTTCAAGAAAAGAGCGTACTCCTTCCTCAAAGGCTGGCAACGCGCTTGTGACTCTTAGAGTTGCAGGCGTTCATGGGCGGCGGTGACCCGTCTGCTCGTTTGCCCCTATTCCATAAAACAAAAGGTACAACGCAGTTTCACTAAGATATCACGATCACTAAAAGAACGAAAATACGAAGAACGCCTAAAGATCCTAAAACTCACAACGGATTGCACAGATTGAGGAGACTTAATTAAAACATATAAGATCTTAAATGGGCATTATGACCATCAAGAATTTGATAAAATATTCATCATTATTATATTTATTCTTATTATATTCATTCTTCTGAATATTATGAATTATCTTATGAATATGAGACCACAAATTTAAGCTTTGTACCAGCTTCTCGAACATCAATCCTCAGAAACACTTCTTAAGCAATAGTATAGTAAGAGCATGGAACAAACTTCCAGATGACGTTAAATCTGCCCCAAATTTGAACCAATAAAAAAATCGACTCAACAGATATATTATGGAATCCAAGAAGTAGAACTATCTGCCTGACTTTATAATAATAATAAAAGCTGCTTCCTGTGTTACTCAATCTTTCGTTCTTTTTCTTTTTAAAAAAGACAACGCCCGCATTAGGAATAAATCCTGTGTCGCGGGGGACTTTACAAACATACATGAAACGAACACAAAGAACACCCAGACTCAGAACAACAATTTGTGGATCACACAAAGTGTCGTCCCATGTGGGGTTTGAACCCACAACACTCGGCGTAGTAGGAAGCGGCGTGGCGACCGCTTAAACCACTACGCCATCCGTGCAGTGCAATGTTTCAAGGTGTGTGTATCTGTCTATAATATATCCATAGTTTTTGAATTATTTAACCCACACTCCTGTCTCTTTCAAAATGGTTATTTAACAGACAAAAGTTTCAGAGATTTTTCTAATAGTATATTCCAGTATAACGAAGTGGCTAAGTGGTAACTGAGTAGGTTAACACATTGTAAAGTTAAGCAATCCTAGACAGTTCAGTCTATTGATGGGTGACCATTTCTTAATACATTGATACCCCTCCGTGCCTCGGAGAGCATGTTAATGACGTCGGTCCCAGTTGCCATAAGAACGTCTGTGGCAGAACATAGTTGGGGCCTAAAAAGTTCGACAACAGTTGTTCTACAGAACTTCAATATCGCCTACTTGGGTTATAATGGTCTGATGGCAGTTGCTCCACGTAAAAAATCGAAGTTCAGCTGTATCATAGTAGACTTAAAACTGATTCAACCTCTTTTGGGAAAAAGGGGTGGGAGGAAAACTATAACAATATAACTGGCCCCACCAAGCGATGACTACATACTGTTACTTATAATAATAATAATCATAGTAATAATTGTCCGTGTAGTGACGGATTAAGAATACGGAATGTCACTACCCCAATTCATCCCGTGGGTATCGTAAGAGCCGACTAAGGGCGCAAAACAACGCAGGACACCAGCACTGCAAAAAGAAGGAAAACTTGACACAAATCCTATACCAACCCGCCTGGCCAGCGTGGTATAGTAGGCCAAAACCTTCTTTTAAGGAGAGGAGGAGTAGAGGCCTATGTCCAGCAGTAGACTATTAAAGGCTGTTGATGTGATGTGATGTGATGTGAGTAATAATTATGTTTAGTAGGGCCACTGGATGAAAAGTTAAGAAGTAATAGTATCTATATCTATAATATCATATTATCTTGGTACGAAGTACAAGAGAAAAAAGAAGACCAAAGAAAAGCTGTATGGACTGTGTGAGTGAAGATATAGCTAGGAAGGTAGTAAACAGTGAAAACACGAATGTTAGAGCAGAATGGAATAATCACATATACTGCGCAGACTCCAAATAAAATAGGTGTAAGGGTAGGCAGATGATTGTGTTTATTAGTCATAAATTCTTATAAAGAAAATGTTAAACAGAAATTATGCTCATGATAGTCACAAAAGGTTATTAAAAGCTTATAAACTAGGCCAGTGTATTTTAGGAGACAGCTCTTAGAGACTATATGACCCTGAATATGAAGTAGTAGACATGTCATGATATGAATAAGATTTTACATAAGTGGTTTTCGTTAATAATGTTTTGAAGTACTACAGCATACGACAAAAAACTAATAGTACTAGATTCTGAACCAATTATGAAGTAATAACAACAATTTAAAAACTCTTTGGTACTCACTTATAGTAACTCTCCTCATCATCCATCTCATCAATATCACCTCTAGTCCCTCTCCCAGTTTCTTCTTTACCACTGGCAGCATTCTCCTTGCTGGCAACAAGATCCTTTGCTGCCTGTTGCTCTAGACCTGCCATGTAGGCATCTAAAGGATCTTCTTCGTCGTCTTCAGCCTGTATAATTGAATCCTTCAGTACATTTCATTTACAATTGATGGATGAATGATAATCATATATATAAAATTCTCGTGTCACTGTGTGCGTGGTTGAACTCCTCCGAAACAGCTCGACCGATTTTCATGAAATTTTGTGTGCATATTAGGTAGGTCTGAGAATCGGCCAACATCAATTTTTCATACCCCTTTTTTTATTGACAAAAAGAATTGAAATAATGTATTTGGCAAAACAAGGTTTGCCGGGTCAGCTAGTTTTAATTATAATCATAATACATTAATAACTTTAATTAGTGGTTGAGACAGCACATGTTACCTTAGAACTTGAAGCAGCATCATATGTAGGGCTGCCAGGTGCCGGTATGTACGCTAAAGCTGGTGTAGGAGGCTCATCATCTTCATCAAAGTATCTATAAAAGTAAATCACATGTATGTGGCGACGGATTAAGAATACACAGTGTCACTACCCCTATTCATCCCGTGAGTGTCATAAGAGCCAACTAAGGGAAAAAACTATACAGAACTGTTGTTCTTTTGCACTGCAGAGAGAAGGAAAACTTGACACAAACCCTTTATCAACCTGTCTGGCCAGGGTAGTATAGTAGACCAAAACCTCCTTTCTAAGGAGAGGCTTATGCCCAGCAGTGGACTGTTAAAGGCTGTTGATGAAATCACATAATAACTGAATGTATTGAATTTATTTGTTACGGAGAAGTAAATGTTCTGTAACTAAAATCTATACTAATATAATAAAGAGGAAAGATTGGTTGATAAACTTAAACTGAAATAATTTATTTGGTAGTATTAGGTAAAAATTGAAAATAAATTAAAAATACTTACTCATCTTCAGTCTTTGATCTTTTCTTGCCCAAAGTTCCCCAATTTCCCGTGACAGCGTTCTGTGTAATTGAGTTCATTGTAGAGTACCCCTGCTTCGATAAGCCGGTGGTCGGTGGAGGAACTGCATTCATCTGCGACGACGGAGGTGGCACAGCGTGAAGAGACACGTTCGAAGGATTCCGCTTTGGCATCGTGAAACCAGCGAAGCCGAAGCCCTTGCTACTACTTCCACCCGAATTATAACTCATTTTGTAGCCGTAATGTGGACACTCCAGAAACACTACTCAGAAGCTATTAACATTAAGGTTATTTATATATGTTTACAACACCCTCTTATACCTCAATCAAGCTTAAATTAAGGGTTTATGTTTCAAAAGTTCATATGTTATATTTTCAAATACAAACAGCAAATATTTCCAAATAAAAACAATTTTAATCAACTCCAACGAGAATCAACGATGACAATAGCATTGACATTTCGTTTTCAAATTGCTAGGCCAAATAAAATCAAATATCTTCCACATGTCAAATGGTCAAGTCAACATGATCTTTATCAAATTAGGGCTTTAAAGTTAAAAATCTTAAGAAAAAAAAATGTAAAACATTTAATGCGTAGAGTCATTTAGGTGCGCCTGTTGGAGTGGCAACGCTTGGGCCCCGCATGAGCTGTATTTTTAATTGTGCAATATTTACTCTCATCATTTCGACAAACTAATTAAGATGTTTTATATCTTGCAGACGTAACGCGAGACGGCCCAATTTTTTTTGTTTATTACTAAATCAGTAACAGAGTTCGATATAGCTCTAAACATCATTTACCATAGTAACGGAGTATCTTATTCGATATGAGTTTTTTTTTGGGAAAAAAAAATTAGTTTTAGGTCATTAAATAACAAAATACATTTTAAGGTTTTCAGTTTCTTTATAATTGGTTTTAGCACCATGAAATAGTAGCCCCCATATTAAAACGCCATACTGCTGTGTAAACTAAGAGATGTTACTTGAATCTATAATTTGTCCAGTGTTTTACAGGTGTCTGGTGTCTAGAATAATATTTTGAAGTGATAACTTCTTATGGGAGGGTAAACCGCTTCGTTACGCGTTACGGTTTACGAGCGTTAAGGCGCTAGTTTGTCTGGCTTCGCAGCGCTAGCCATATTTCAGACAGACGCTTTACATAAAATTGAACTAATAACCTAAGCATTTCTCAAGTTTAACAATTTCAATAAATAATAGTTCAACTTAGATTAGTTTAAGTTATCACTTCTGTTCGGCGTCCCGAGACTCACACGTTTTTAAATTATAGACATTGGTGCTAATTCTGTTGTTCGAAAACTCGCTGAACTAAACTAAAAATCCCTAAAAATAATTTAGTCCTGCCATTTAATTCTACGTTTTCAGAACAGGAAACGTTTTTTGACAGGCGTAAACAAATTTTTAGGGCCCAGTCGTACCCGATGTTCCACAGGAGAGGTCCTAGGACAGACCCCTGGGGAACACCGCACCGGTTGTCAGTCTTTTTAGGACTCCAACTACCGTAAAGGAGGTACGTACCGTAAAGCACGGTGGGGTCTCAATGTGTTAAGAATGGTCACCCATCTATAGACTGACATGGCTAGCATCGTTTGACTTAGCAATGTGCTCGCAAACTACTCCGTTATTATTTAGCTACAAGCCCCAAACAATTTTTAGCCAGGGATCGATTTTCAGCAAATGATATTGCTCCCACTAAGCAACCGTTTAGGATATAGCCAAACACATTTATTAAGTTATTTCATTTACCTCCACCGTCCACTCCACTGTCCGTAAGGCAGTCTTATAGAACACAATATAATTTTATAAAGTAAAGTAAAGTATTGTGGAGAAATAAACCACTACAAACTGCCTAAAATTAAAATACTTTTAATCTTAGACCAACTTTAAAAAAATATTAGAATAATATGAAAAATTATTTTTGTATTTGAATAGGTATATATCCCATTTTGATTTATTAGCACTATAGAATTATAATTACTAATGCAAGCTGTACTTCTCTAAAAATAAAGTATTGTTATCCTTACTAACGGCAACACAATTTAAGATTTTCATTAACTAAAGATTCATAAACAACGCAGGACACCAGCACTGCAAAAAGAAGGAAAACTTGACACAAACCCTTTTTTTTTATTTTTTTTTTAACGTGTGGAAATCCCCTCGGACCGTCACCCCACCGGGGTTTGCGGCGGGGTGGTGTGTCGGGCTCGAACCGACTAAAACCACACGGTGTGCCCTCTTTGCGCTTCCGGTTTAGGAGGGGTCCAGGTAGTTATCGCCTTCTAGACCCCTCCCAGCGCCGGCCCGCTCCTGGTGCGGGCTCCGTCTTCAATTATCCTCTCTTTAGGCGACGTCCGGCACACGCGGACGCCGCCCCCTCGCGGCTGGCCAACTAATGCGGGTGGAGAGGAAACCCACCCCGTCCACCCGCGGCCACACTCAGGGCGGCATGAGGCGCAGGTAAGCGCGCCTCCGCCGCCCGGTTCGCCGGCGGCGGATCAGGTCCGAGTGGAGGTCGTCCTCCCGGGCCTTCTCCGCCGCCTCCTTCTGCGAGATTACCTCCTCGCAGAAGGTTGCGACCGCGGTAAAACAACTGTCGCTACCGGCCATGGAGCGAATTACGGCCGGTAGCGAGAGATCTGCTCCGATGACTGCAGTGAGGGCCCGGCGCTGTGTCGCCCATGCGGGGCAAACCGCCAGCGTGTGCTGGGCCGAGTCCTCACTGCAGTCGCAGTGGTGGCAGGCGGGACTCAGTTCCCTCCTAGCGACCGAGTGCAGGTACTTTCCGAAGCAACCGTGCCCGGAAAGCACCTGCGTCAGCCGGAAGGAAAGGGCCCCGTGCTGCCGCCCTGCCCACTCGGCTATGACCGGCTGGAGAGCCTCCACGGCGGCGAAGCCAGCGCGTGGAGTCTCCAGCCGGAACGACCATCTAACCATGGTGGCTCGGCGAGCGGCTTCGCGCCACTCGCGCACGTCTTCGGGCGGAGGGCGAAATCCGCTCTCCGCCCGGAAGTCAGCCACTCGCCGATAAACTTCGGCGAGCACTTCCGCCTCCAAATCCCACGGGGGTGTTCCGGCCAAGGCGCAAGCCGCCTCGGTGGACACCGTGCGGTATCCGCGTATGGCTCTGACCGCCAATATCCTCTGGGGGCGCCAGAGGCGCGCCCTATTCGGGGCGGTCAGAGCCGCCACCCACACCGGTGCACCATAAAGCGCCATGGACCGGACAACCCCCGCGTACAGCCGCCTCGTGGGAACACTGGCCCCGCCCAAATTGGGCAAATGTCGCCCTAGGGCGGAGGCAGTGTCCACCAGCTTCGGACCAAGCTGTCGGAAGTGCTCGTCGAAGAGCCACCTACCGTCTAGGACCAGACCCAGGTACCTCATCTGGGCCCGGACCGGTACGAGGACCGAGCCGACCTCGATTGAGGCGCCGGCGGGTGGACCACGACGGGGCCCATGAAATAATAGGGCCTCCGTCTTATCCAGGGCCACCCGTAATCCCAACGCCTCAATGCGCCCGACCACCTGGGAAACTCCCGTGGCGGCCAGGCGCGCCGCCTCCTGGAAGTTAGCCCCCCGGGCCGTGACTAAAGTGTCATCTGCGTAGCAGAGTACACCCAGCCCGGGGGGGAGACGCCCTCGTAGGGCCCAGTCGTATCCAATGTTCCACAGGAGTGGTCCTAGGACAGACCCCTGCGGAACACCGCACGACATGGCCCTGCGTCTCAAGACGCCATCTCGGTCCTCGTACATGACGGTTCGCTCCTCAAGGTAGTCTGCCACCAGCCGCCTCAGGTACTCCGGCACTCCGTGGTAGCGGAGCGCTTCCCTGATGCAGCTGAATGGCAGACTATTGAAGGCGTTGGCGATGTCCAAGGACACCGCCAACACCACTCCGCCGCAGCTCACGGCCTCCTCGGTCACGGCCCTAAGGCGCATTACGGCATCGATCGTCGAACGCCCCGCTCGGAAACCGAATTGGGCGTCCGACAGATCGGGGCCAACCTCGCAAAGGTGCCGGACGATGCGGGCAGAAAGCACCCTCTCAAAAAGTTTACCCGCCTCGTCCAGCAACACGATAGGCCTATAGGCCGCGACCGATTCGGCAGGCCGTCCCGGCTTCTGCAGCAGGACCAGCTTCCCGCATTTCCAGCGCTCAGGGAAGCGTCCGGACGCCAGGCTAGCGTCCAACACCCCCCTGAGGTGGTCCGACATGTAGTCGAGGGCTCGGGCCATCACTCGGGCTGGAACCCCGTCCGGCCCGGGGGCAGTGTTCTTGGATCTAATCCGTAGAACAGCCGCCCCCAACTCCGATTCCCTGACGGGCGGAACATCAGCCTCGCTGCCCCCGTCGTCTCCGGCTGATGCAGCCATCGACGGGGGTGTGTGCTCCGCCCGCTGCGGGAATAGGCCCTCGACCACTTCCTGCAGGAAGCTGGGCTGGAGAGTCTCCGTAAGGGGGGGGGCCCGACGTGCGGAGCTTTTGACGCACCGCACGATAAGGGCGACCCCAGGGGTCACGCTCGAGACTCTCCAGCATCTCCTCTCTACTGACATCCTTGGCGCGGCAGATGGCCAGCCTCAGAGTTTTCCGAGCTTCTCGGTACTCCTCATGAAACCGGTCCACCTCCTCACCGACCCCGCGGTGACGTCGCCGACTACGGGTGAGGGACCTCCGGGCACGTACACAGGCCGCACGGAGGTCCGCCAACTCCTGGGACCACCAGTAGACCTCCTTCCTTGGAGGCCGACAACCACGAACGCGGGGCATGGCCGCATCGCAAATCTGCGTAATCGCATCGCAGAAGCGACCAGCCCCCATGTCGACCTCCTCGGTCGGGGCCTGCGGAGACAGCCAAGAGTGAACAATGGCCGCCTCCTCTAGTAGGTCCCTGTCGAGCTTGGCGATAGCCCACCGCGGAAAGCGGGAAGGGCGCCGCGCCGCGTGACCCCTACTGGGGTCCTGGGACCGGGAGAGCTCGAATCGGATGTACAAATGATCCGAGAGCGTCTCGACCTCTTCCAGGACACACCAGTTCCTTACTCGTGCGGCGACTGCAGGGGTAGCGAACGAAAGGTCCACTATCGACCCCCCCTGCTGTCGCACGCACGTGTTGGTGGAGCCTCTGTTCAGCAAACAGAGGCCCACCGACGCCGCCCACTCCTCAACGGCTTCGCCCCTGGCGTCCGTCGCAGGGGAACCCCACGCAATGGACTTTGCGTTGAAATCCCCCAGCACGAGGACGTGCCCAGACACTAGTCGCCGCATCGAGGCCTCCAAGTTGTTAAGGAAGACCTCGAAGTCGTTCAAACTCCGGTTGGGGGAGAAATATACACCATAAATGGTGATTCCCCCCCAATCGGCGGCAACATATCCAGTACCCTTGTCTCTTAGCGACAAGGGCGGGGAATGAGCCGCCGTGGAGCCGACGACTGCCACGGAGCCGTCCCGGTCACCCATCCAGTTTGGACGGGGAGGGACAAAATAGGGCTCCGCGACTACGGCAACACCTATAGACCACTGTGCCATGGTTTGCAGGAAGAGATCCTGCGCCGCAGCACAGTGGTTCAGATTCGTCTGGACCAGAAGGTTGGAGACTTGATCCATTACTGGATCGTCTCTACAACCTCCTCCATGGGCGTCGGCGTCGACGCAAGATTGACGTCGGAGGTAGCCTGGGTCGGCAGGCTAGCCCCCGGCGTTTGCCGAGAAGCGCGGGGAGGCTTGCAGCCCCCCTGCCCCATCTGGTGATTGGCAGGCTTTTTAGCCGCCGCACACACGGGGCAGTGAGGGGCGGCAGAGCACTCTGCCGCCTTGTGCCCGGGTTGACCGCAGCGGAAGCATAGACCGCTGCAGTCAAAACAGCTCTCGCACCTGGTGCGAGTGTGTCCCGCGGCTAGGCACTTGAAGCACCTCATCGGCCTCGCGGCCAGAACCGTGATTCTGGCATTAACGAAGCCGACGAGCATGCTTCCGGCGTCGCCCAACGCTTTGGCCGACGCCACGGGACAGCTGACCCACACCGCACCGAGGCCTCCCGGACCCGGACGGACGGTGCCGACTCTGATGGTGTCCGCGGTGCACCCAGTCTTCTCCATGACTGCATCGCGGACATCCTCCGACGTTATAGAGTCGTCCAGGCCCGAGATACGCAGTTCCGCGCATTTGGTGGACTTGACACAAACCCTATACCAACCCGTCTGGCCAGCGTGGTATAGTAGACCAAAACCTCCTTTATAAGGAGAGGTCTATGTCCAGCAGTGGACTATTAAAGGCTGTTGATGTGTGATGATGAAAGATTCATACAGACATTTTTGACTAAAAGACCTTATATAATAACTAGAAATAGAAAAAAAAATTTGACACTGTCATATGACGAGACAGAAAATCAACACAAATTGATTAAAGAAACACTTTCAAACAGGGGTTCATTTAGAGCAATATTAATATCTAAATTATAAAAAAATGTATTTTAAATTGTGTGTATTCCTCTTTACACTTCTTACTGTAACAAATGTCGAAGCAGCAACAGGATACGATTTCGGTGACTTTTTAGCAACTGTTCTAGGACTCGGAATCGCAGTAATTGGAATTCTCGCATGTTTGGGTAAATATGCGAGGCAACGAGCAAGAAACGAGTTTATATAATACGCTCATCTATATTTTTAATATACGTAAGTAGATCTAAGGAATTAATAAGAGTATCAAGGTGTCATGCCCATAACTTGTTGAATTCAGAGTAATATTGTTTATGAAACCTGTTAGACTGGCCTTGTGTGTAGTGATTATAGTGAATTAATTTGCCCGATAGTAAAGGAAGCATGAAAACTACGTGGAATTATAATACCTGTTTTATTTTCAGGTTATGGAGTCATTTTTTGGAGAAACCTCTTAAGGACAAAATTAAATTCCTAACATGTTGTACCAAAAAAACATGAAATAAAAAAATCAGCTGTCCAAACATTTCTTATATTTAATTCTAGTACATCTGTTTATATACATTTATTATATTAGTGTTATTGGATAATGGATTCAGATATTTTTGTACTATACCTCTGTAATATAGATAATAAGGATACATTTACTGTAGTATATGTTAACTTTTTTTCAGATCTGAGGTACTTAGATCACAATAACAACTGATGATGTTTGTTAATCTACCCACGTAAAATCAAAATTAGTATAATTATATGAATATCAAATGTTTATCTGATTTTATCTAGGTTAGGAACCCTTATTGAAATAATGTTTTGGCAATAATAATATATTAATATGTGGCAATATTACAAGTCAAGGTCAGCTTAGCTGTTGACCTCGACCTTACAGATGGGTAGAAGTACTTGTTTTGTTTCCCTTGAGATAAGTATTTTACAGTTAACCTTCTGAATACTATTATTATTGTCAAAAATAAAATGCCATGAAAAATATATATTAAAACCTGCGATGCGATTATAGTCTTCAAAAGGTTGATAATATTAAAATAAGTTAAAAAAACCTCTTTTTTTGTTTATTTTAAATTAAGTAATATAAATTTATGCATTAATGTTTTTTTTTATTTTGCTTTGAGAGATATATTTATAATAATATCATCATCAGCCTATTGCAGTCCACTGCTGGACATAGGCCTCTCCCATTGCGCGCCACTTAGATTGATTTTGACCTCTTTGACAAGGTTTTTTTTTAATATGAATGTAAAAAATAAAAACTCCTTGTCAAAGAGGTGCCAGTCAAGTTATTTTGTTTTTGGACATTCAACTGCAATACTCATTTTTTTATAATGGAGGTGGCAAATGAACATCGGGTCTCTTGATAGGATGTGACTACTGCCACCCTGCAACTCGGAAATATTTAACTATATGTAATATGCCTAATTGTTAGTCAAATGATAATGCAAATTGTTGTAAATAATTTATATTAAAAAGAAAATGTCATATCTGCACACATAACAACAACACAATCAATTCATTCATGCAAACCCATCAACATGATTGCACAGGTTTTTAATAAAATTTAGTTTTGTATAACCTTATTGACTACTATTTTCTAAAAGTTCTATATCTTTTATGATGTCATTCTTTTTGGACAACTTCTCTTTTTGATCTTTGTCTGGATTTTTCACGACACCAATTTTAATTTTTTCCTCAAGAGTTTCAATGTCTCTTAATTTTTTTCTTAAGTTTTTTAACCGCTTTCCGGGGTCAGTGGTTGGGGAACTGTGAGCTGCTATAGATGTATTCGAGAAATTAGGTTCTTGTATTTCACATTTGGCAAGTTTTTCTGCGGCTTCATCCACGCCTGAAAAAAGTTATTACATCAGGCCTGTTTTTAATATATTACTGATTATGTATGTAAATTATATTCATTACTTATTAAATAAAGAATGAGTGTTGATACTCATTGAAGACACATACAATAAATCTAAGAGGCATGCCTACACTAGTAAGTACTAAGAGAAAGTTCAGTTGTGTGCTGTAACACTGTCCATAAATAATAGAAATTATACAGAAGCATATTTTTTTTTGAATATGGAATCTATTTGAAAGTGTATTGCGTGATGATTTTGAGGGAGGTTGTTTAATTTCTTAGTATGGAATTATGCAATCAACTAATATATAATAAACAATGCAAGTAATAATAATAATTATTCTGTGCTACTTTCTCATTCAAATTATTCAACTTAACAACAAGTAACTTTTTAGTACTAAGTGAAGGAATTGCAATTATTCTACTTTTTTACTAATGACTGGCCTGTTGGTCTAATGGTTAGTGACCCTGACTGCCACTCCAGAGGTCGTGGGTTCAATTCTCACCCAGGACAAATAATTGTGTGATGAGCACTGTCATTTGTTCTGTGTCTGGGTGTAATTTATCTATAATATGTATCTATTTATAAATATATAAGTATGTTTATCAGCAGTCTGGTTACCATAGTACAGGCTCTGCCTAGTTTGGGATCAGACAGCCGTGTGCGAGATGTGTGAAAATATTATATTATTATTTTATTATATTATATTCAGTTGTCTATAGGAACATAACATGTTAATCCTGTTGAAAGCAATAAATAGGTGTATTATAACAATTAGTGTTATTTAAACAAAAGTAAACAAACCTGTCTTCTTTTTCTTCTTCTTTTTATCAACATTAATGAGCATGCCTGGGATGGGTTGGATAACACCTCCATTATTTTTCTTAGGTTTCTGGGCTTGAGCTACTATTTCAGGTGTGAGTCCTACTGGGAGGCCAGTGTTCTGCCGGGCTTTAAACTGTTTGCCCTTACTCTCATAGAGGGGGACCTCTTCTTGGGGAACATAACCGTCCTTGATTCGTCTAGGCTTTCTCCAAGTACCATCAGGGCGTTGTGTCGCCGGAATAAATTTGGCACCTGCAATAAATTTTGGAGGGAAAGTTTCAAATCGGAAGTCAAGTGAGATACCGCCAGTTTTGAGTTAAAAACGTCATGCTTGACTGATTTTTTTTAAGTGAAAGACCCACCACTCCAGGTGATAGAGACATGTGATGTGTGTTTTGCTTATAATGAGGAATTAAATTTTTTAATTGGGCCATATAAAAAATCATAAAACATTGCTTATTACCAATTAAATACACTTTCACAATGTATGCAATTGTATATTGGCCGCACGAAAATATGGAAAGTCAAGTCAAATATTATCACGCACTTAATGTAGGCAAGTTTCTAACGATAATTTTTTTGTAATTATGAAAAATGTAATCCTGCTTACCATCAGCATCGTGCTCATATCGGGCTGTTGTGGCCATTATCCACCATTGAGTAGTAAATTTATGTTAATATTGACTTAAAACTACACAATCTGGATCGGGCAAGCCTTGCAAAATTTCCTCTCGCTATTTTAGTACACAACTTTTTGACAATAAATTGACAATGAAATATTTGGAATGGAACGAACAATTTAATATATGAATGAATGGTCATAGATAACAAAATATCTTAGTTTTGAATTGCCAAAACAATAATCTGTAAAACATAAATTTCTCTACGGGCAGCCCTGTCTGTTTTGTTTTTTAATTTACAAGCAAAATAATTACTGACAGTTGTTTTTGGTTTCATTCAGCCAGCCAGATACAAATTCGAAATTGCGCGTAGATAGAATCAGTTTTGTTTTGATTAAAATATTAAAAAAGTACTTAACACAATGCCTAAACGAAAGAGGTTGTTTACGCCGCTGAAAAACAGGGTAAAGCATAACCACAGTCGAGATAGCAGCGATGTTAGAGGTAATTAATGGTACTTTCTATTATATTCAACATGCTATCATATCAAATTTAAAATTACTTATTTTTGTTTATTTATTTAGGTACTAAAGTTAAATGTTAATATTAGATGTTTTTTTTCACGTTCTGTATTTCCCTAGGTGCGCGAACTCTGAGACATAAATCAATAACTACAAAAAGAAAGTTACGTGAAGTACGCCACGTATTTGGTTACTCAACAAAGAATATAATACACAATGATTACGGCTATATAAACGATTCTTTCCAAAATAATTATATTACTTCATTTACTCGTTAATGTTGTAGATGTGGTTAAACTGAGCTTAGTGAACAAAGCTAAAAAGATCAAAGATTATTGGTTCTGCTATTGGTATTGGTGGTGGATTTTTTTTTCTATCAGCTATGAATACAAACCAGTAATGTAATATAGTAAAGTAATTGTAATCATTAAATTCTAAGCTATCCTGACTGCTAAGGAAATTGTATATATGCTAATTGGCGAGAGAATTGTTAATACTGCGAAATAGGATTAGCTGTTGGGTGTGTCTTTTTTAGATGGCGCTGTTGTATGTTGAATGATGAAGTCAAAACAGTAGCATGGATTGACTAACCACACTAAGTACATAACTTTCTCAAAAGGCCACATAAGAGGCGGTGAATTTATTTGCATCAGTAAAATAATAGTATTTGGTAATTGGTTAATTTTGTGATTTCAGAAGTGACAACTGCTCGAGGAAGGCTTAAAGGAGCTTTGATGGATGTCCTGGACCCTACAGGGGAAGACTCAGATTCGTCGTATGAACAAAGTCCAGTCAAATATGACAGGTATGTTAATATGTTAGTGGTATATTGTAAATGCAACAGTAAGATTGTTTTTCGTTACCCAACTTGCAAAAAATTTTGATGATCTGAAATTCAGTAGTATTTTTGCTATGATCTTACCTCAGAATCTATACTAATGTTATAAAGCTGAAGAGTTTGTTTGTTTGTTTGAACGCACTAATCTCAGGAACTCTACTGGTCCGATTTGAAAAATTCTTTCAGAGGAAGGCTATAGGCTATATATCATCACGCTAAGACCAATAGGAGCGGAGCACCAATGAAGAATGTTTCAAAAACGGAGAAAATTTATTACTATTGAGAGACGCAGACGAAGTTGCGCGGGTTAGCTAGTGTTTTATAAAATCAAATTTTATTTGAGAGGGACTTCACTTAGATCTTCCCATCTGATCCCATTCAAAGATGCAAAAAATACTATCCCTGAAGAGGTAAAATTAAAGAATATAGAATATTGCATCAAAATGTAGGTGCATTGAAATTGGTGACAATTTTTTTAAAAGTTAATTTAACTACAATGCCTGCAATTAATGTAACTTATCTGTTTTGTTATTTCATCTATGCTTTTATTTTAATAAGAAATACTAATTAATACAAATTTCATTGTTGTTGTCATTCAAAAAGCAGTATATTATAACCTTTTGTCTTCACCACAAAGCAGGGTAGAAGTAATTTTCATATTTACTTATTGAAAAAATCACATCACACACATCATATCATCAGCCTTTAATAGTCCACTGCTGGACATAGGCCTCTCCTTAGAAAGGAGGTTTTGGCCTACTACACCACGCTGGCCAGACGGGTTGGTATAGGGTTTGTATCAAGTTTTCCTTCTTTTTGCAGTGCTGGTGACCTGCGTTGTTTTGCGCCCTTAGTCGGCTCTTACGACACCCACGGGATGAATTGGGGTAGTGACATTCCGTATTCTTAATCCGTCACTACACACTTGAAAAAATCATTAATCAATAAAAATTTTTACTTATGTGATACTTGCTGAAACTCTTACTCTTTTTTATCCTAAATATGACTCTATTTTTGATTTAATTTAGCCACGATCAAGCATCAGACGATGACGACAGAATTAGATCAAGAAGAAGGTCACCGCAGAGACAGTCCTATGTGTTAAAGTTATTCGACAGAAGTGTTGATCTGTCACAGTTCTCAGAGAGCTCACCACTATACCCCATATGCAGAGCATGGATTGCTAACCAACCAAAAGCTAACTACAGTGATTTCGGGTAAGAAACATTTTCTAATATTGTTTTTTTAAAACCAGATTTTGTATAAATTTTCGGATTCGATTGAACAGAAAGATATAAAGCCGTTTCTGTCTACGCATAGATGGTCGGACTTAGAGGAAGGCAGCCAGTTTAAACCCAATGAGTGCATTAGTGGAAAACAGTTTTTATACAGTCAAATTAATTTAAGAGGTGCATTTTGACAGATAAGTTAATCATAGAAACTTAGTAATAATTTTAATATTGTTCTGAGTCTGGATGTTCTTTGTGTCCATTTCGTGTACATATCAAGCAGATCCGCGGACACAGATCTTAATTTTTTACTCAATCGTTGTCGGTGTGCGTGAACTGTTAACGACATAAATATAATTAATATATAATTAATATTTTTTATAAAAACTTTCTAAAATAAATATTTCATCATGTATCATTATTTGAATATGCTTATCATAAAAAGATTTGTGATTGATCTCGTTATAAAATAGTTGATTACCTTTGAGTTATGTACGGTACCTCATTAAAAAAAAAAATGATGAATATTTATGTAAGCATGAAATATTTAACCATATGAATTTAAAAAATAATTTGAATGGAATATAATAGTTTTTTATTGCTACCTACTCACCTACATATAGAATTTTATCGACCTATTGAAAATTAATAAGGTAAAATTAAAAATTATTCAAACGGAATCCATATGAGTTGTCTGGGTACTCTTGCTCATATGGCTCATTACATATTCTCATATTCCATAAATATTATGTTATATTTATCATAATTAATAGTTTCTGTGCATCTACCATGTTTTAGTTCTGCATCACCCTAAGGTCTACTGGTAGTAAATGCCTACGGCATTAAGTACACATATGTCACGTTTCTATGTGCATTAAGAAATAAAAGATCCGTAAATGATCTGCCAAAAAAGTAATGGATACAGATCTTTCTTTTATGAGGTAAATAGATATCTGTTAAAAAGGTAATAGAAATCTGCGGTAGACGAAAGATTATTTATTTGTTTAGTATTCGGCACATCAGTAGTCCTTAAATGAAGGATAAAGGGGATATATCATAAAATTTTGTTAAGCTTTTAGGTCCAGGTTTTGAATTCTAATTTTGGCTGTAAAAACAACAATTAAGCAGCCCCATTTTTACAGTAAAGAAGAGGCAGAACCGGAGAATGCAGAGAGTGTAGAGCTTCCTGGTCCAGATGGTTCCCCGGTCTCCAAAATACCCGCGCTGCTGCCAGAACAGCTTAAAGCCAACAAAAATAATATTAATTTAAACTATGTAAGTCTATTGCATTAATTTTTAGATTGCATGCTGTCGAGGTTAGGTTGGTAGGTAAGTAGATTATGACGCATCGTAATTGGGGTCCAATTTTATTCTTACAGATACAAAATAGTAATAAATGGGTAACACATATATGAGTCGATTAGTATCAAAATTGGTCAGATCCAATATTTATCGATTTTAAACTAAAAATGGGAAAATATTCGTCTTCACGCGAAGTACGAATTGTAATATTCAGAAAAAAGCCAAATCCACTTCAATCATAAGGAAATCCCGTTTAAAATACGGCTTTGGTATCAAAATCAGCCCAATCCGTCATCACTAACTTTCAAATATAGTCAAATCCATTTCGGCCAATCAGCATCGAGTATTCTCTATGGCGAGTCGGCCATGTTGTTTTTAGTCTTATTTTGTTCTTGACGCTGGCCGCTTGTACTCCGTGCGTTTTATGTGAAATTATTAATAAAAATGGAAGGAAACCTAAACCAAATCGTTGTAACACCTCCCCAATTGTCAAGGAAGCCTTTGGTACAAAAATCTTCATGGGAATGCAACAGAAAGAAGATTTCTAGGTATGTAAACATACACTATACAATATTGCTTTTGTATTATCAGGGATCCTCAACTTTTGTGACCAAGAAGAACTTTTTTGGCCAAAACAATAGGTGTAGCTTAATTCTTGACATATTAATTCATATATCATCTTATTTAAGAAGCTGGACAGATTTTAACGAGAATATCACTGTAAAATATCTAATATCATCTGAAATAACCTACTGTTTATAATAAAGTAACATTTATACATGTTTTCTGTGATATAATACTGGAACAAGTATATTTATATTTCATATAACTTTTTGTTTGTCTCCCTATTTATACTCATTCTGGACTCGTTTTTGCAGATACTCGCCTAAAGCACCACCAGACATCAGAATTCCGTGTCAACATTTTTCTAAAGCCTATAGATGTACTTCATTAGCAAAAAACGACATAATTAAATTTAACAATGCTTTTTATAAATCAACAAAGAAAATAGATCAAGACAATTTTATCCTTCAACACATTAAAACATCTCCAATTCAGCGCCGACGTCCCAAATCAGGCACAGGTAATAAGAAAAATTTCAATATTACATACTACGGGCGACGCAGAAACTCCTTGGTACCAATATGCAGACAAACATTTCTAACCATATTAGGACTTAAAAAAGGAAGAGTAAATGGTGTAATTATGCGGAACGTTAAAAGTAATGGGGCATCAGCATCTGAAAATAGAGGAGGAAATCGTAAAGAGAAGAAGTACGCAAATGTAAGAAAATCGATTAAAGAATTTATAAAAAAATTAGTCCCGCTTGAAATTCATTACTGCCGCAGTAAAATAAAAAGCCGACAATATCTTGCATCAAATTTAAATATGAATAAGTTACATAAAATGTACATCGCACAAGCTGAAGAACAGTTCATAAGTGTTAAGGCATCTTATTTCCGGCGATTTTTCAATATTTCATTTAATATTGGCTTTGGCACTCCGGCAACAGACGTGTGCTCCACCTGCTTATCATTTAATGAACAAATTAAACATGAAACAGACATTAACAAGAGGAAAGATCTTATGATTTCTAAAAGAGTGCATAATTTAAGAGCGAAGGCTTTTTACAATTTACTGAAGGAAGAAAAAGAAGAGTTACTCATATTAAGTTTCGACTGTCAAAAAAATCAGCCGATGCCTAAAGTGCCTGACCAGAGCGCCTATTATTCGCGACAGCTTTATGTTTATAATTTCACGATTGTAATAGGCAGTTCCAAAAGCAAATTGAGCAGTGACAATGTTTTCATTTACACATGGACCGAAGATATTTTACCAAAAGCCTCAAATGAAATCGCTAGTGCGGTTTTCCACTGTCTATGCTCTTATATTGAAAAATATGAAAATGTAACCACAATTCGACTAGTGGCCGACGGTTGCAGTGGCCAAAACAAAATTACTTCAGTTTTGGGAATGCTTTGTAAGTATCTTAAGGATTATGCTCCAGAACGTATAAAGAGTGTGGAATTACTGTTTCCAGTGGTGGGTCACTCGTTCCTACCACCAGACCGTGTATTTGCACAAATAGAAAAAAATATTAAAAAGAACGAGGTTATAACTAATCCGCAAGATTACTACAGAATATTCAACGAGCATGGGACCGTTCTGAAACTGGGTTCAGAAATTATAGTTCAGGATTGGAAAGAGGCAAGTACTGAAATATTAAAAGGAACGAACGCCATGCATTTTTCTATTAAGCAATGTAAGCGGTTTTTCATTAAAAGAAACAAACAGAAGCTAAATGTATTAGTAAGGGCAGAAGAATCTTATCATAATGCTTTGGGCACCTACAAAAATATTTGCAAGAAGAATAAAACCGTTAGTCTAATAAATCCTAAAAACAAACAGATGAATGTGGCGGTTAAGAAAGAAAAACTGGACGATGTTATTAAACTTTTGAAAGCTCATTACGGAGACCAGTGGGAACTTTTGCCAGATCTAGAGTACTATAAAAATGTAATTCAAAGGTCAATTAGTGATAACAGTATTTCTTATTCAAATGAAAGATGTGAGATGGAGGAAGAATTGCCCAATTTGATTATTTAATACCTACCAAAATTATATTTCTTTATTTCATTCATAATTTCTATATTTCTAAAATGTGTACCTACCTAATTACCTTTAATAAAAATAAATATTTTCTTTGATTTATTTTATGGCACGTTTTACTTCGTCTTTGAATTTCATGACAAAAGTTTACAACCTCTGTCTTCCAATTACGTCATTTATAAAATAAGCCAAATCCACACAGGTAACATTCATAGACAGTCAAATCCATAGACTACTCTATCAAACTTAGTCAAATCCACACTTCACTATCAAACTTAGTCGAATCCAATTTTTAAAACGTGATTTCGGTATTTTTGTGTTTAAGACGTTAGTTTGTTTTTATTTTAATATTTTTAAAAACCTTAATTACATAAGTAGTTAAATTTTTAGCCCTCTATGATGTTGCCATTTAGTAAAATCGTAATCTTGACTGTGTTGCTAATTTGTCTTAAACGGATTTAACCAATTTTGATACTAATCGACTCATATGTGGTAGAATATTCCAATTACAAGAGTTGGTTCCGCCATTATGACGTTAATAATATACAGTAATCCCCCCTATAAGACGGTAGATTTGTTCCGAGTTATAGGAAAACGCGTTGTAGGAGTATTTTCGTATAACGCGTTATATGGGGAAATACTCGTGCTATACGAGGGATTCAAATCGCGTAATATGAAAATGCGTTTATAAGAGTACCGTGTTATAGGGGATTACTGTAATCGATTATTTTTTGAAGGCATTATCAATTTATATGCTTTAGGTCACTTAGTTTATAAATGTTTTTTTTTTAGCTATACAGGAATACAGTTAATGTTCTATTTTGAAAACATTGTTTACTAACAGCGTGAAGCTCCACCGCCAAGTCGGGAACAGTTGTTGGCGTCGCACTCGGTGCGGTGGGTGGCGGTGCGGCAGGCCTGGCTCGAGCAAGCCGCGAGGGCCGAGGCCCGCTACAGTGCTGCACAACAGCTGCTCAATAAGATAAATGTGAAGTAAGTATCCTATCTTAGTCCCCACAAACTACCAAGTCTTCAAATTACACTTTTTATCAAAAAAATCAAAATCCTCTTGCAATGTTACTCTTTCCCTAATTTCCTAAGAAAATCACCTAGACATGTGATGTTGCATTTAAATGGGGTGTGGATCACATGGTGATATTCACAATTTCGACTGAATATACTAATTGTTTTTTTTAGGAACTGTTCATAAATACATATAACTTTTTATTCACCAAAACACTTATTTTACTCCTACCTTTAGTAAAAACAATACAGTTACAATACATTTTTAAGGGGTTTTAAAAAAAATTACTGCACGGATGCCGTTTCCTGCTCTGAGTGTTGTGGGTTTGATTTCCACATGGAACAACACTTTCTGTGATCGACAAATTGTTGTTCTGAGCCTGGGTGTTCTCTGTGTCCCTTCCATGAATGTTTGTAAAGTCCCTGCGACACAGAATAATATATTCCTGGTGCGGGAGTTGTCTTATAAAAAAACAACTTTTTTTTTTGTTACAGTGCCATCTGAAGAGAATTTATTGGCTCATCCTGACCTCAGTAGATTTTTATGAAATTTCGATTAATTTACAATAATTTATATAGAATTGCTTTGATTATAGATTTTATAGAATTCAATCGTGTTGATTTGACTATTGTAATGGTAAATAAGAGAATGTGAACATTTTATAATATTTTTATTATGTAAAATAATATAGTGATTATTTTAATTAGGCGCTTTTGCGTTTCTTTTTATTTCCTTCTCTCTGCAGCTGGGGGCAGTTAGACTTCTTGTGGCCTTTTTCTTGACAGTTGAAACAAGACTGAAAAATAAAGATAGCTTTCTTTACGTCATAACATTTAAAGTCGTCGTCGTCCTAACAAATAAGAGGCCCAAACGCTTATCCCGCACCGGGAGACGGGAGACGGGTGACGGGACCCGACGTAGGTGACACGGATCAATACTCGTCAAACCTAAGAAGGGGCCCGGGCAAAATGAAATGTCATTCCTCGCTCCTTCAAATCATAGTCATGCAGTGGCACAATGGGTTAATTTTTTATAGGTAAGAGTCCGACAGATCCTTTCACTAAGTGAACATCCACATAAAAAGACTAAAATAAAAACAGTTTTATGTTACTTCTTATGATAAAGATTCAAAATAACTTACTTGACTTTCAACAACGACACCACAAATATGATTTCTCTGCTGGCAACACCTATCACACTCCTTGCAATGGAAGAATGTAGGCTTAACACACCGCTTGCAAATATCACAGTGAATATATGTCATGCCATTTTTACTAGTGCAGGTGCCACACTTGTTACAATGTTTATTGCTCACTGCCACAAAGAATTTACACTTGTTGCATAGCTTGTAGTGACTGTCATTCGATAAGTCTATTGTACGCAATGGCAGATTTGTAAAGAAGCGGACAGGCGAAACAAATTTGTAGCCATCTTTTGTTTTGTTATGGAATTTTTTGTGGTTTGTATATTCAATCTGAAATATTAAATATTAATTGAAATAAATGCAAACTAATTAATCAAAACATCAACATAATAGATAGGATACACTCAAGATACAAGTTTACATTTTTCATAGTAATAAAAGTGACACACTTCTGTATAACAACATTTTATGAATATTAAACTCATACTTACTACATATAAAGTAAGTTTGTATTACTTGAAATGTAAATGAGGAAATTTTATATACATACAAGTATTCAGGAACTACAATATATGCAAAAAAATATCTAAACTACCTGGTCGAGCCCATAAGTGCCGAAGTCTATGTCTGGTTAATGTTGACATAAACATTTAAAACTACTACTATTTTATTATTTTTAAATGTACCAAAATTTCTTGAAAAAAAAATGCTATACTATGAAAAGAAAATTACCTGATAGTCATGCATTTTAATCTCGGGCACCATATTTGTTATATATGGCTCAGAGAAGTAGGGGAATGCCCACAGCACTGGCAGCAACCCCTTATCAGGTTTATCACATATCTCCTTATATAAACTTGTCAGATCCTTAATGGTCTGTATGAGGGGTTCTACACGACCACCAAATGGAGGGTCCATGACGATACATATACCGCCATCACTGGAAAGTTTAAAACAATACACTGTTATGATGTAGCTACTAAAATACCCAAAATAAGTAAGTATTAAGGAAAAAAATACTTTTATTAAAAAACTTAATTTTATGTTATTTACCAATAATGTAATGTGGCATAAGTTGGATAGTATAAGTAAAAGATTACTTTTTAAAATGTATTTAATGTAAAAAATAAATCTTTCACACATTCTTATAGTGGCATATTTTGTTTTTTGCAAAATATGCCACTATAAGAATGTGTGAAAGAACTGTGTGGTGACGGATTAAGAATACGAAATGTCGCCACTCCTATTCATCCCGTGGGTGTCGTAGGAGCCGACTAAGGGAACAAACTACACAGAAAACAACACTGTAAAGAGAAGGAAAACTTGGCCCAAACCCTTTACCAACCCGTCTGGCCAGTGTGGTATAGTAGGCCGAGTCCTTCTTTCTAAGGAGAGGCCTATGTCCATTAGTGGACTATTAAAGGCTGTTGATGAAGAAGTATGTAGGCAAAATATTAATAAACAGTCTTGAAAAAGCGTTCTAAGTAGCAGATCTAATTTTTCTGAATAGCTTCTCAAAATATAATGGAATTTTGTATGAAATACAAGTTTATACAAAGATGTCAAAAGAGTTTAATCATCAAATAATAAAACTACATTAAGATTGGAGAAAACAAAATTAAACTTACCGTGAATTCTTAAAGAATTTCTTTAGGACCTTCTCGTCTTCATTGCCATTAAATAGGTAATTATTAAACATGTTATACCAGATGAACTCCTTAGGCGAGTGAAAGAGATGGTGGCGTTTATCATAATCCAGCAGCAAAGACTTAAATTCGGAATTTGATTTCGCTTCCTCATGTACTGAAGGAGTACCAATGCAAAGAATGTTGCTGGAATATTTTAAAATCATCAATTCATAGGTACATTGTATTCTCTAACATGAATTTGAAATTTTTCTGTCAAATTTTGTAAAAGCCAGGTCAGTGTCTGATTGCTATATCAGAGGTCTTGCTAAGTACAATCTTTGGAGCCATGGCTCTACCTGGATGTAATTTATCTATAATAATTATGTATGCTTCTATTTAAAATACTCATTAACAATCTTACTACATGAAAAGCCGTCTCTACGTTAAGATCAGACGGCTGTGTGTGGTAAATCTTTAAAAGATTAAGTAAGACTAAAACCTTCAAGAAAAGAGTGTACTCTTTCCTAAAAGTTGCGGCAATGCGTTTGTGACTCCTGAGTTGCAGACATTCATGGGCGGCGATGGTCACTTTCCATCAGGGCATCAATTCTGCTATGTAATGTTCACTCCAAGCCACTGTCATACCACTGACACTCTATTGAGATGATGAATGCTTATAATTTGAAAATATATTAAATTTTTGAGAAAATTATTTATTTGATTTTCAAATATAGCAATCTTTATGATATCACTACAGATGAGCCACTGCCATTCCATCGCCACTATAAAGACACTATAAGAGTTAGTGTAGACATATTTATACCGATGCCAATGGCCACTCGATGGCATCTCAATAGCGTGTCAGTGGTATGACAGTGGCTTGGCGTGAACATAAAATAGCAAAATTGAGGCCCAGGTGACTCGTCTGCTAGTCTGCCCCTTCTAACATAAAAAAAAAATAGTAATCATAAAATTGAATAGCTAACATTAAAAACTTACCTGATATTATTATTTTTAAGAATTCCGAACACAGTGCTGACAGATTTCTTAGTAAAAATATACTGGGCTTCAATAGAGTCATTTTCTAACATTGGAAGCCATGTAGTAGGATGGCTCAGTTGCTCATCAGTTAGCGGAGTAATGATCCTGTGGTCTTTAGCATGTTTTTTACGTTGTGAGAGTAAGTAGAGTTCCTCACATGTATTGCAGTATGCACGGTCAGTATAGTGGGCTGCTTTAATCTGGAATATGTGACTTAACATAAACTTGTGATCCATTTAACATAAAGGATATTAGCAGTAGACATCTTAAGGATTAATTATGAAGCTTATATTTTCTCAAGTTAATTCAAGTTATGCAATAAAAGTGAAATAAAAATTATTATTTTCAAACTAACCTCACTCAGATTACTCCATGATGCAGGCTTATCAAGTTTCGGTATCAAACTATAGTATTTCTCATTCCGTTTCTTTACATTCTCCTTTTGCCAATCTTCCTCATCAATATGCACTGTACACTCTTTATTTCTACATAGAGCACAGGCGTAATATCGCCCTTTTTCGGATGAAAATAGTAATGTAGGCCCATGTAAACAAATTGGATGAGAAGTCAGGTCTTCTATTATAACTTCAACAGGTGTAGTCTTCGGAACGCTAGCGTCACTTACCTCTAACTTGCGTTTTTTAGGCATTTCTAGATTTTTTACACTAATTAAGCAAATTTAATTATATATAACCTATGATCAAAGAGCGTGTACGCATGTGTTAATACACGATGTCAACAGATTGATTTGAAAAGAACGAGTGAACCATGAATGACTTATGACCTGTTTAGTAGGACTTTTGGCGGTACTTTAGTGTTGTAAGTTACGGTTTTTAATTTAGTAAGTTCACTTTTATTCTCGTTGTGTATATATATATATAGTTAAATCTAGTCAACGAATGCTGGCAACTTTATTATATCGGCACCGGCTAGAGATGGGCTTAAATGTTAAAAAATAATAGCACTGCTAAACGCTAATGCTAACAATAATTAACACTTAAAATTAGCAGTTATTTTTAGCAACTGTTAAATTTTATCACAGACAGATTGTTAACCTAATTAATTCTCATTCCTTCATACTTTTCACAGGCTTAGGACTGTCAACTTTTTCTGTTGGCGTATTTAATATGAGAATCAATTTACATATTTACAACGATTTCTTTTTTTTAATGCGTAATTTTTTTTTCAATTTTTTTTTTCTTTTTTTTCTTATATCTACATAACACTTGGTAACATTACTTTTCTTAAAATTTTATAAATTTTTTATTGCCATTTAAAAATGTTAATTCGCCCCCGCCACTGTCTGTCACCCCGCGGGACGGTCGCGCAAGAGATTGCCGGGTTATAGTGAACGCGGCAAGTAACCGAATCACTAGTTTCGTGTCAACTTAGAACTAGTAATTTTTGTAAATACGTTAATATTGTTAACTGTGACTGTCGGGTGTGATTAGCAATCTACACGTGCAAGCAACCATAATTTGTAAACAAAAGAACGAATTTCTTAGAAAGTTCGTTATGGATGGTACCGATAGTCGAGTTTATTACGGTCTAAGAAAATAAAGCGAGAAAAGAACGTACACAGCTGCACAATTTTTACTAATTTTAGCATCTTAAAAGGTAATTACTTAATTTTTCATTAGTGTTTGTGAGTTGTGACTGCTAAATTTAGCAACTATCTCAGAATTTATTTAACAGGTGTTGACACTAAAAAAAAATTAGCAGCTAAATTTAGCAGCTTATTAATTTTAGACCCATCTCTAGCACCGGCACCCGTAGCGTTCTATTGTGTCTTCTGACACTTTTTTGAATATTTTTCAAGGGAACTGGCAGAGTAAAACAAATTAATATTAACAATGAATGGATTAGTAAAGACTGCGCAAAGGGTAATACAAACCTGTGTTAAAAACAACACTTTAACGGGTGCTCTAGTATCTCGCTCGCAAGCTCCTGTGAAACGTGATTTTACTAGAGGGATATGGCACATGAGCTGCTCAAAGAGGTTGGATGGAGTCGCCGCCTCATCTACTCTCTTAAACAATCACTCAAACACATGCAGCTGCGGTTGCGGTCTGAAGGCGATACACACAAAAGGTAAATTTGCAGGTTTCGCCTCTTTCATTTTTAGGTTATGATTGCACCATGCAAAGCTCATGCCCAAATTGCATGCGTTAGCTAACCTTACTATTTCCTTAGGTACTATATTAAATACTAACATTTTATTTTTGTTCAGTTGCCCTAAATGAGAAACATTTTGACAAAACTGTGAAATCTAAAGCTCTGGGTGAGTTCTTCTCTATTTCAAATTGAAAGATTCTAAGTAGTAAAAAAATGTATAGTTAGAAATTCAGTATCATCGGTTAGATTAGTTTAGACAGTATAAATAAATTGTAGTCATGAACGACGAATATAATATACGACAAATATAATATTATATATTCTAGACCAAATCAAACATTTAATGTTCATGCATACAAATGTTTGACTTGAGCGGGAATCGAACCCGCGACCTTTGGAATAGCAGTCCTTTACACAAACTACTATGCCATCTGGTTGTCGCTTCCATGTGATTCTGTCGTCATCCAAATGATTGTGTTATGAGGGCATCAGATCATACAGACAAAACAAATTGGTATTTGTTTGTTCTGTGTGTAATTATGTACTCCCTGTGCTTTTGCCACACTGTGTCTTCTACATTTTAGTAAGACACAGTGCCATGTGCAGGGAAAATCATTACCATGTCACATCCAGGAATAAAGGCATACTGTCTCGTTTCTGCATAAACACATGGGACAAACCACAGGTTTTTAAAACTTACTAAGTAAGTTTTAAAATTACTAAGTACCAGGTTACTAAAGAGTTTATATTCACCTATTTCAGTATCATTTCATCTATGTAATCTCATAAAGAAAGTCTTTCTTGATGTTGGAAACATATTTTTCATATTTCAATTATAATAATATTAATTTATTTCATATTGTCATCCATATCTTGTTAGAATTCATTCTTAATAATATGTTAGTTAAAAAATAATAATAATCTACATTGCTGTCAAGTCCAATATATCAATAATCATTTTTAACTAAAAATGTTCATCAATTACATGTCAATTTTTTAATCCAATGTCTGTTAATTTCATTAAAAATATTACGTGTTAATATTCTTAGTATACTATTATTACTGGACTAATGCCTTGTTTACACTGATGCAATCCTCTTTTATATTTTCAAGTTATTTACTTAATTGACATTTCAATGCGCACTGGTAGTCATTTACCCTCAGGTGATCCATCTGCTAGTTTGCCCCCTGATTTCATAAAAAAGACTGTTTTAACCAAGAATTTTTTATTTATTTAAAAGAACTGCATTAGGAATATATCCTGTGTCATGGGGGACTTTACAAATATAAATATTTCCCTTATTTTTGATTTCATATTAAAGTATAAAATTATTAATACTAAGATGTCTCGTAGTAAGTAATCTTATTAAGACAGTTTTCTTGTTGTAGATGTGTTGTAATAGTAGTTCTAATGTAACACTATTTTTATATGTAGATAAGAGTCCCACAGTACACTGGTGTCATATAATATAGTCATAATTATTGATACATTTAACATTGTAACAGGGTAGTTATTAAACAGCCAATGCTGAGCAAATGTAGAAGTGAATTAATACATCAAAAATCACACTAGGAATGGGATTCAATCACCAGTGATTATATAATTTATAAATAATGAGTTTATATAAGATAAGATTTATGACCCCTGACTACGGAGCAAACCATACAGGACAACAGCACTCCAAAGAGAAGTAAAACTTGAAACAAACTCTATACCAACCTGTCTGGTCTGCATGGTATAGTAGGCCAAAACTTACTTTCTAAGGAGAGGCCTATGTCCAGCCGTGGACTATTTACGGCTGTTGAGACTTCTCCTTGGAGTAATATTTGAGACTTCTCCTTGCAGTAATATTTGATAGATAGGTATTCATTATTGGACCAATGTGGAGAAAGGTTGCTCAGGACAGACAACAATGGAAATCGTTGGAGGAGGCCTATGCCAAAAGGCACACCGAATTAAGAGACATAGTGTAACTAAAATCATGTAACATGAAAATGAACCTGTGTAATCTCTTACTTTGGCATAAGGCGCTATATATATATATTCATTATTGCACACAAAAAAAGTATTTTACAATCTGAAAATATGTTAAACTTTACAAAATATGTTTAATTGCAGTCATTCAGTCGGTAAAACTTTAAAATGTTTTATTGAATACACACAATTTTGAATCTAGTTACATGCATTTTTTTATATTTTTTCCCTTAAATCAATGTATAATGATATTTTCCAGGTGAAAGAGAACTAGTAGAGTTCTTGACTGAGGAGATAGTAGCAGAGCGCAAGGCGCAAAAGGTCAAGAACTTGCCTAAGGAGTTGGATGGCTTTGCTGTGACTGGTGATGGAGCAGAAGTTGTTCTCTCAAAGCAACTGAAAGATGAAACGTAAGTATCATCATCTTCTTGTCCTCTTGTCCATGATGTCATTATAACTGCAGCAGGTGTTAATCAGTTCATTAGTAACTTTCCATTAGGGCCTCAATTCTGCTATTTTATGTTATCGACAAGCCACTGTCATTCCATTGACACGTTATTGAGATGTCATTGAGATGCCATCAACATCGGTCAAAATATCAGTATTCTACTAACATGAATTCAGTGTCAATAGACTGTTGATATAGTAATATAGGTCATCAATGGTGATATCAACAACATTGCCTTACCTGGAGAATTAAATATAATATATTCTTACAAATGTCTTCATGTCAAAATCTTTTTTTTAAAATGTAAAATGTACCGTTTACCAAACGGTACATTTTACATTTTAAAAAAAACATTGGTAAAGTATTTGTATCAGTGGCAGTTCAGTGACAAGTCCTCCCAATAGAGGTTGGTTTTACATAGTTAGTAGAATACGAAAAGTGCAAAACTATTCCGACAACATTTCATAAATAGTCTAATGATACAGTATTAGAATAGCAGAATTGAGACCCAGGTGACCTGTCTGTTCATTTAAAAATATAACACAAGATCCCCACACAATTGCCACGCTGGACGTGCCAACCCATGGCATGATCCAGTGCCAAGTGTGGGGTATATTAACGCTTTCAAGTAGAATACCCACTGTGCTCTATGCCAGTGAGTATGGAACAGTAAAGCTACAATATACAATTGCACCATACAATCTATTTTTAGAACTAAATAGGCTCAGTCCAAAAACTCAAATTTATTAAAACTAATCTATAGAAAAAAAAAAATTTTTTTCATTGTGAATTATTTCATACTTACAGCATCAAAATCACATTCAATGTTAATCACACCGTGGATTCTGATGACATTGAAGGAGAAGCGCAGCCTGAGAAGCAGGAGTTCGCCGAGATGCGCTCGCGGCCCCAGTTCGAGGTGGACCTGATCCGGGGCGACACAACCCTTGGTTTCACCTGCTCATTCTTGCAAGATCCCCCATCGGCATCTGCTGACGAGTACAGTAAGTATATGAGAAATAGTAAACTCGTTTTAAAGTCGTTGCGTAAAAAGTTACTACAGGGCTAATTACCCCTGGGTCCTTTAGAATCATTCGAATTGCAATAGGGTTGGTAGGGTGAATCCAACTTAAATTCTGCATTTATCTGGTTACTGTAGATAGTGGATACTGCCTTCACATAAGAAAAAATCAGAATAACTTACAAATAACTTATTCTGATTTTTTAACTGAATCTCATTAATATTATAAACGTGAAAATTTGTAAGGATCTATGTATATTTTTTTTCTCACACATTTGCTAGAACATCTATATGAAGCTGTACACAGGATTATAGTTTTAAATTATAACTCCGATATAAACATGGGCTCAGGCTAAAAGCTGGTATTATTAGATACTAGCCTGTGTATGTGTAAAAAGTAACTTATGTCCTTCCTCAAAAATCTCCCTTCCAAAATTCATTAAAAACAGTTCAGAGGTTGAGCAGTGAAAGCGTAACTGGTACTGGCGATAGTTTCTTTCGCATTTATAAGTAGGAATTACCTATTAAATTCCATAAAAATACTGAATATTTAAAAAAAGAATAAAGAAAAAAAATTTAAAAAAGAATATTAAAAAAAAGTATTAGATATAGTAAATTACTAATAATGTTATGACAGTACTTTTAAACTATTTTCATCTCAAAACACATAACTATCCCCGTACAATTGCCACGCTGGACTCGCCAGTCCATGGCTTGATCAAGTGCCAAGTGTGGGGTACATCGACGCTGTTACGTAGAATACTTACTGGCCTACATGGCAGTAAGTATGGAACAGGACAGGTACAAGAGATTAATGAGTTTTTTTATTTAAAACAATATAAGAAGAAACAAATCGGACAGAAAATGGTTTCTAAAACTGGTTGCAGTCAAGCCTTATGCCAGTTGTATAAATGACTGGACTGTTTAAATGCGGACACCAATGTACCTCGCTATACAGATTGCAGTTTATTGTTGGGTGATAGTTTGAATGCAGTGCATGTTGGCATCAGACCTGAACCAAGACCACTGGACAAATAAATAGATACAACAACAACTAATAATGAACTTTCGCCATGTCGGCACCATCCAGAAGAATCCCGACCATCTGGCTAACCACCGTATTTTACACACATTCATTTATTCATTAACTAAGGGAAAAAACTACGCAGAACAACAGCACTGCAGAGAGAAGGAAAACTTGACACAAACCCTATACCAACCCGTCTGGCCAGCGTGGTATAGTAGGCCAAAACCTCATTTCTAAGGAGAGGCCTATGTCCAGCAGTGGACTGTTAAGGGCTGTTGATGATGATGATGACGATTTATTCATTTAATCATCAGGTAGTTCTTTTCGTTAGCTACATCTTCATATTAGTAGCCTGGTACTTTTCATCAAAATTATCAGTTGGTACAAAATCACCAGCATGTGGTGGCTAAAAACAACGAAATATTAATGACGCTAAAAATAGGATTTAAAAATAGTAATATATAAATTTGTTTGCAGATGATATTTTCGGTATTGATGAGGTGACAATCTACAAGGGCGAGTGGAACGACAAGGTGTATGCTGTCGCTGGAGACGTGCTGGATGGGGTGTGTATTATTTTTAACTATTATAGCAAAAAAATATTTCATGTATATTTTTTCTTATAATAATGTGATTATACTGACGGGAATGGTCACAGGTCTTTTTCACTAACAAAAATAGTACTCTGGACAGTATTACAAACTTTTATCAGACAAGTCGGACATACAATGGACGCTCAAATCTTGAATTTCTTTCTGTCATTTTCGAAGTTACATTTTACTCACAGAATAAACTGCTGTATCAGGCTTGTTTGCCATCTTATTATGTAGAAACCAATACCTACATGTAAAAATTTTTTTTACGAACATTAAATAGTTATGAAATCCAAAAAGCGATGACGTCACAAGTTTGTACTGAACTAGAAATTCACCTTAGTCACAAGTAACGTCGTTGGCCTCGAGGTTTATCACGCCTTCTGATAGTCCCGGGTTCGATTCCGTGCTTGACCGTTGCCCCATTTCTATGCCACACTTGATACTATACCAACATGTAGATGTCAGGTGCCAAAATCGGGGTATATTGTATGCGTTGAAGTGAAGTTGATCCTATCACCTTTGTGGGGGATATTCATTGAGATGCTACATTTTTTAATGTTTATATGGAATGTTTACTTTTTGATAGGTAACTTATGTTGTTCTTTATTTAACATATAAAATATCATCATTTTCTTACTTAATACGGATTTATTACCGATATTATTTTCTTGACACATTTTATTAAAATAATAGTTCGTTTTAAAATCTACTACACTTATTTTTTCGATAGTCTTCTCATCAAAATGATTTGAAATATTATAGTAACAATTAATTTTACAACTACGTCGACAAAAAGCACTGCCCGCTAAAGTAAGCAGATACCATTGCTTCAAATAATAATAATGACTTGGTCACCTGCTTACCACCAGGATATTAAGCCCTATTTTCCCTTTTTTTTACCATACCCTCCGTTGGCGAAACGCAGGGCGTGTGTGAGACTCCCGGAGAACCTGTTTACCCACTAAACCCCTCTGTGGCCTACTTTGGCAGTCAGGAAGAGCTCCAGGAACGCATCGGTGGCTTCTGGAGTCCTCTATGCCGTACCCCATGTCTGAGGCACATCCCGGGGTGAGCCCTTTCTTACCTATCGTACAGATTTTACAACATAACTTTACTATTTCCAGTACTTGTACGATCTTCTGATGAACTTGCTGGAAGAAAAGGGCGTTAGCAACGAGTTCGCGCAGAAGCTGTCGGACTTCAGCACGGCGTACGAGCACGCCGCCTACATTAACCTGCTGGACACCATCTCCAAGTTCACCATCGGCAAGCAGTAGACCTTTCTCATCATGTAGGAATACTAGACTGTACAGCATCGCCCACAACGTAGGCAACCCAGTTTCCATATTGAATAAAAATAGCAACCTATCGCAGTCCACTGTCCTTCTTTGGGAAACATTTTGGTCCAACAGCCATCTGCCTACCAGTGGTAGAACCATAGTTCATTTTGTAAATTAGAACTATTCTAGGCTAATCATTAGATAATTTTTGTCAGTCATTACATCCCGATAAGGTTTTCTTTTTACATCTACAGCTCGTCTTGGACCTCTTGTGGATGTCAATGTACACCAAGCGAAGGAGATTGAGATTGGGTAAATACTGCAGCAGATTACTCTTTAACGCAGACACTTATGTTACGTACAGAACAATACATTTTTGGATACAAAAAAAAAATTGCCAAATTTTTGTAACCACTGCTTAATATGTACCAGAGTTAGGAAAGCAGAGAGTTACGTAGTTACTGCAATTTACTCATTTATGCAATGTCGTGTAATATATAACATGTTATAATGTTATATAGCTGTGGACATGTCCAGCAGTTCATTACAAATGAGTGGAGTGAAAGCATTTATGCTGTAGACAGCTTTAAGTTAGGATGTTTTGTTTAATGTTAGTGTTATATATTAGTTATTCTCAATAAATTGTTTAAAATTATTTGTTGTTTTACTGTTTGATGATTTTTTGGAGTTTAGTTTTGCATCTACTATATAAATTTATTACACTTGTTAATCTCGGGTCATCTTAGATCTCTATGGTGTGGACCGCCTACTGCTAAGAGGCGGCTTAGTTCTGTCAGGATTTACGGAGACACTTTTCAGTGTGCCCAAGTGTAATAAATCAATTTTGTCGGCACAGGTGTGGTTTTAGTCGGTACGGTTCTGACATGTCACTAAAAATGCCTCACCTATACAATTTTAGTGCTAGTGCTGAAGTTTTCAGGCTAAAAATATATATATATATATATATGTCCAAACAGTCACAAAAAAAACTAACCAATTGTCAACTCACAGATAGTTCGCTTCTGATAAAGAATCCAAGCATTGTTGAGACTTAGCTGTATTCTCAAGGTGGTTTACAAATGAGCAGTAGACAGTTAACTGCCTATACCTATATTCATATCATAATCTCAGCCGAAAGACATCCTCTGCTCGACATAGGCCTCCCCCCAAAGTTTGCCACAACAACCGGTCCTGTGCTGAACGCATCCAACGGCTTCCCGCGACCTTCACAGGGTCGTGAAACCACCTTGTGGGGATCTGCGTTCGCATTGAGGACCACATTTGATTTTTAAGCTGGACCCGCATAGTCCTTTTCGCGAAGCAAATAACCTGCGCAAGTGTCTCCACATGCGCAGGTTATTTGAATCCATTGTTATCTCCAATCAAGGTGAACTATGGTGATTAATTAAAAGAAATACCTTCTGTATGCTAGTTCTTTGTGAACCGCCATTTTATTCCATGCTAACATAGACCCCCCTGGAGACTCACGTGGACCCATGGGGTCCACTTATACGACTTTGAGAATCACTGATTTAAAGTTTAGGCTTGGAAATTTGTATAGTGGCCGCTACAGGGATAATTTTTTGTAAGTTAGTCAAATAAATAAATATAATAGTTGGCTGACTATCTACTTAGTGGTTAAACAAAGAACGTCATACACTATGTTATAATAACTTGTACTTTTTTTTAATAATATTTAATTAAAACTTTTTAACAAAAAAATTAAACCACCGAAAAAACTGAAAAGCAAAAAATAATAAACCTTTTTTATTTAACCTTAACAACTAAGTTCTGAAACTAATGTAAGTATCCTAAGTAATTTTGAGTAGGAGCATTTTCTGGAATGTTAATGTTTGTGTGATTTCACGTTGCATTATTAATTTGATTTGGTTATTTCTTTAAATTAGGTAGGTAGGTAATCTAGTGGTACATGTTCATTGATTGTTTGGTGCCGACTCAACATTACTTATTGTAAACCACTAATATCTTCTAAAACGGTTCATTATAAGGATATGCTGTAAAGAGCTATTTTAGTCTATATTAAATGTACAACGTATCTAATGTAGTTAATTGGATAAGAAAGAAAGAGATAATAATGTATTGTTTAAAACAGCTTCGTAAATAATCCAATATTTTTTGTTTTACTGTGAGTTATCTTGACTTTTTGTAGATTTTTTAAGATATACAATTCCGTAGTACATTATTTTGGTCTATCTCGTAACGTGTAGCCAGCGTTTGCAATGTAAGCACATAAAAATATGTTTTTTACAACAATTCTTTAAAATTCTCGGTTTTTCTCTACTATATCTGCATGTATTATACATATAAACCTTCCTCTTAAATCACTTTTTCTCTTGGTGAAAACCACATTAAAATCATTGAGTTAAACAACTAGAGAAACAAACCTCATTACCACACGTCGAAAAAAGTGTAACCAGTATTGAACAATACCGACGTAGCTTTGAAACCATTAGAGATTTGAAAGTAAACATATATATGTTTCACCTTCACGCGTCGCAAGAACAATACCGTTGTCGGTAGGATTCGACAAAGACAACTCCACCGTGGGACCTGCAGGCGCGGGCCCTTGCGGCTCTGTATTAGTGGCGCAAGGAGGCGCAGGAGTTGGGTCGGTGTCCTGAGTCTCGAGAAATCGAGGATCAGAAAACCCAACTTCGCCAGGTCCTCGTGGAGGAGTGGAAGGAACGACTTGGACAACCGAGCGCGCTGGGCATGCCGTTATTGCGGCGGTAAGACCCGTTACGGAAGATTGGCTCGAGAGGCATCACAGAACCCTCTCATACCGGTTGACGCAGGTGATCACCGGAAAAGAATGCTTCCGAGATCACCTGTGTCTGATCTGCGAGGAGCCAACGCCGCTGCGATGGCCGAACCGTGGACACGGCACTCCACACGCTGGCAGAATGCCCGGCGTGGGTGGAGCAGAGGCGTTGCCTCTTGGCGGCCATCGAAGTGGGAATTATCTCGCTCGCTAACATGATTGCCGCCATGGTACGGAGCGAAAGTTCGTGGAACTCCGCCGTCTCCTTGACGAGCGGGACCGGGAGAGGTTTAGGACTCTCCCGGTGCGTCAGGCCCGGCAACCGGCCAGGTACCGCAGACGACTCAGGCGCCGGAAGTCGCAGAATGACCTCCGTCCTCCGTAAGCGCAGGCCTGGAGGTGGTAGGTGAGACCATCTGTAACCCTAACAGAAGTAGGCTGGGGTAGTGGTGAGACGCGCTGCGGAGCGTGCGCGCCTTTTCGGGAGCACAAAGGGGACATAGGGGTTCCCACACAGGCGGGGGGGGGGGGGGTGGTCATTTACGCGCCGTAGATACACTTCCTAGGGAACACCTGGTTCCCCGGCAACTGGTATCCGAGACAGCGTGCGGTTTTTGGTCAGTTCGAGTCCGATGTAACCACCGGTGGATGGTATCAGAGGTGATTACCGCACAAAAAAAAGGATTCGACAAAGACAAACACATAAATATGCGATGGTGTTGACTACCATTTGATATTTTACCCTTAACAACCGATTTTTGTAATGAATTTACATTTTGTAACCGAAAACATTTGTAATTAAATAAATATGTAAATTAAATTATTTAAAAACTATGAAGCATTAGTTATGTATACAAATTATCTTTTTGTGAGGTTAAGTAAATAATTTACTTTCATCATACCATTCCATTTTTAAATATATATAAATAAATAATGACAGTAGGTACTTAATAAAAGGGAATGACACACGGCGGTCGGTGCGCTGCATCTTTAGATGGATCATAAAACTATTATTAATGTACATGTGTATCTATTTCCGAACGATTACGTTAATATTTAAAATACTATAGTGGCAAAAAAAGGTTTTTTTTGTAAGATCCAGAATTATGTTCTAAACTTAGTCTATTAAAGTGACAAATTACTAAAATAATATCTATAATAATCTGTAGTAGTCTTTCTAGTATCTCTACTCTACTACTAGTATCTGTAGTAGAAATCATCGTTAACAATTATTTTCACAACAGTACGTTAGAGCAAAGCAGATAAGTCACTTAACGTGTTAGAGCGAGATGCACTACTGACCTTACAGCGATGCAACGCGTCGGCAGCCAAGTGCCCCCCGTCTCTTTCCGATGCTCAGAAATTCCCCTCTGATGCCTGAAATATCTTTTTGCTGCGTTTCTCACGCGAACTTCGTAGTCGCTGAGTTATATTTTTTTTTCAAAAATTAAAAATCTCGCACCTTCCAATGTGGAAAAACCAAAACTATATTTTAGTGGCAACACACTTTATAATTTGCAATGATCAATTTTTATTTCAATTTATCAATACATAAACAATATATTTACGTGTGAAAAGTAATTTTGCTTGATTTATTTTAGTTTTGTGACTGAATCGCATTCTATCACTACACATTTACCCTTTTCGGAGATTGCTATCGTCACGTGTCGCTATGTTCAACTTGATTGGCGTAACATTGAGGACGGAATTGAGCTGTGGACAGATGTGCAGTGACAACGCTTTTGAGTAGTAATTTTTGACTACTAATTTTAAAAGATATAAGCACACAACATAAAAACGGCTTTATTTTTCTACTATGTAAAGATGTGCGGGTTCAAAATGTTTACACATTAATTTAGATTTTATTTGCAGTAGCAAACATTAACCTTTTTTACCTTATGACTAGAAGTCATAGACCTCATAAAACATAAAGTTTTATGAGTTCTATGACTTCTATGTCAAATTGTCAAATTGTTCACTCACAGGCCTACCCTTAGAGACATAAGCATGGAGTTAACCAGGGGTACAGCTGCCTGAAAGTGGGAGCGATACAGGCAATGAGAGAGAGATGGATGCCAATAGTTCCCTCTGTCTCTGTTTAGCTAAGCTGCGATTACCTATCGTGAAGTGAGCATGGTTTTGAAAGTAGAACTAGAAATTTTCCCAGCCAATCACAGAGCCAATAGGCCAAAACCTTCTTTCTAAGGAGAGGCCTATGTCTAGGAGTTTACTATTACTTACTATACTGTGATTATATATATATATATATATCACAGAGCTCGACTAGAAAGAGATAGAGGGAACTATCTATTACCCATCTCTCTCGTTGCCAATTTTGCAAGATTGGTGCTCTTGTTCCCTCTATGCTTAAATCTCTATGGGCCTACCAGTCAAGTGTCAAGGGTGTCAAGTCAAGTGACACCAGCTGATGCTAACAAGAGCTCGAATCAGCTGTTGGAAACAAAATAAAAATTATATCTCTATCTCCCTCGTAGGCACATTCGTTTTGTTTTAACCTTCTGATTTTGCAGATAGACTAGAGCTATAGAGATTATCAAATTTGTCAACAATTCAGAAACAGTGAAATAAATTGGTATAATGATTAGAATTCAGTGATTTCAGCAGCTATCTTCAAAATTATAAGAACCAATAAAATATGTTCTTAAACGCAAGCCTAATAAAATAAGCTCAAAGCCAACCAATTAGAAAGCAAGCTGTCATTTTACCAACGTGAAGTTCGCGCTTATGATAGCTGTCATTCTGTCATATCAGTGAGTGCTATATGTCTTACTTACTAGCGAGTATTCGTCTGCCTTAGCAAAATGGCTGACGCGTCTTCGCCTACTGTGTGCGCTAAAAAAATACCCGAGAATTTATACGAGCTGTGCTTGACGAATTTAGTGAACTACTTGCATAAATCTAAGTGCGAGAGGAATGTGCTACGCGGACTGCCGGATAGCATCCTTATGGATGTGTATTACAAGGTAAGATATATACAGTGCCACAATTCTCCTTTTGCTTTTATCGATAAAAAAATAATAATGTATGACAGGGAGGTTACCGTTATTATTGTATGATATAGCTTTGGTGTGCGATTTTATAGCCTATTATTCTTCAGAGATAGTGTGTGTGTTAGGCTTGGATATCAGGGGTATATTTTGGTTTGGGTTAGTGGTGTGACCGTGAATACTGAAAACCTGTGCGTGTATAGTGTTGGAGTAAGTCACTTTCACTGAAACGCGTCGTCGGCGGCTCGGATCTGCACAGCCGTTACACGATCCGCTCTTTGTTACGAAACATACAAGGCTGTACACCGACAACGTGCGCTGATAAAAATCTGCCTATCTGCACAGAATTGTTTAATATGCAACTATTGCAATAAAATTGAAACGATTGATAACACGGCAGTCAAATCGTTCTACAAATCATATCGACTCGTTAGGTATATATCTATGGATTATGAATTGTAATCAGTGTAATCATTTGTGTATCAAGTACAGAGAATAACACAAAATTGACTGTTTATCTAGTAGTTATTAGTCAGTCAAAGTGACTATTAAAATTATTAGGAAAAAAACTTCTATTTAAGTTTAGAGATATTGGAATGCCTTTGGTTGCCTTTAAGTAACACACATTACAGACTCTTTGACGTGATGAAAAGAGTAAACATTATTAAAAAAAATACGCACGCTTCTATAACGAGCCGAATTCAAAATTATAAAATAATTGTCTACAAGTTAAAAAGGAAAAATAATAATTAATGATGATTATTTTCTCATTAAGACATACAAAGTTACAAGTATGTAAGTCACTTATGCTACAGTACACGCCTCTTACTACGTAGCAAAAGACACTACCGGATTTTTAGGTATAGAAAAGTCGTTAATCGTGAAGATCCTGATCGGATTTTTAGGTATAGAAAAGTCGTTAATCGTGAAGATCCTGATCAGCATAATAGGCAAAATTTATCAAATTATTGTATTTTCATCGGTCCTTGATAAGTGTGCGAAGTTTCAATTTAATTTGACGTTTTGACGTGACTCAAAAATCACGTTCGAAGATTCCGTTACATAAATACGTACATACAAAGCTAATAAAAGCGTGTTAAAAGATCAACAACTAGCGATTTATAACTTACACTGTCTTACATTACCGAATAGTAGAATCGTTTCTTTAATATTGTATTAATGTAACTGGTGATTCATTGAATTACTGAAACAGCGCTCAAATAAAACCAGAAACACGTTCGCATTGTTTTGTAATTCGTCCTTATCTGGACATAGATTCAAATGAAAGGTACCTATACAATAAACATAACACTTGACACAAACCCTTATTGTCTAGTACCCATAGTACAAGCTCTGCTTAGTTTGGGACTAGATGGCATTGTGTGTATGTGGTAGAATATTATTATTATTATATTATATTCATTTGATGAAATGATTAGTTTTAGTCACTGCGATTTCTAATGTGATTGTGATTTCGTCATATACAGAGATAAATGGCATTAAAATCAAGAAATAAATAAATGGCATTAAATTTAGACCTTTCGCGAGTCTTGCTCTAGCGTATAAATAAAAATTTAATTGCAGTGGTTTTTTATGAGATTTATAAATCATATGATTTATCACATGAGTTTGTGTTTGTGATTTTATGCCGGCCCTACTATACATTTGTATGTACTATGACTACCTGTATGTACCTATACTAGGAAATCGCTTGGTGGCCGAATTTCTACCATGATTAAATTTACCTCTTCTAGCTTGATGTAGTTAAGCATTTTAACTTTTGGCAACAAATAAATATATATAAGTAATAAATTAATAATTTGCAAAGCCAGTCAATGGATATTTATTCTTTTATTTTCGTAAATAGACTTGAAATGCTATGCATATTTTCACAATTTATTTATTCTTATACAAATCTAGTACTTATACAGTTTGCGTAGGTTCAGTCTAAATTTGACACGATGCCAATTGACTAAAGTACTAAACTGCACTACATATTTATGTCTGAATACCAATGCATACATATAATTATGATTCGTAAATAATGGTTTAGCAAAACTAAAAAAAATCGCTTAAGAGCGGATAAAAGTAAAAAATGTACTATCCCCACCTCCTAGCTCACACAAAATGATTAAAAGTCCTATGTGCTCGATACTAAAACAAATCAAACTATGCAGAACAACAGCACTGCAAAGAGAAGGAAAACTACAAACCCTATACCAACCAAATAGGCCAAAACCTACGTTTTAAGGAGAGGCCTGTATCCAGCAGTGGACTATTAAAGGCCGTTGATCATGATGTTCTCGATTCTTCAGCACAAATCATATGAGTCTTAATTCAAGGGGTTTCCTAGTCACAACTGAAGACCTGCAATAGATACTTAATGTCTCCGTGGTCAGATCAGCAAAATACAAAATTGCAGTAGGTATTCTCATCCGAACTAAATATGCCTATTTACAAAGTTTCATTTCGACACTGTAATTAGAAGTAGATCAAAATGGATGCCCAAGATTTGTTAAAATAGTTATTTAACAGTCAATCGAATAAAAACGTTAATAAATGGTGGGATATTTGGTCGATTATCATTTAGTTTGACCACGAATCGTGCACCGATTGTTGTTTTTATTTTATGGTTAGTTTTAATGCATGGCAGTTAAATTTGCTATCGACAGATTGTTGTTCTGAGTCTGGGTGTTCTTTGGGTCCGTTTCATGAATGTTTAAAAAGTCGCCGCGAGGCCACGACAAGATATATTCCCAGTGCGGGTTGTCTTTTAAAAAACAGAAAACCTACTCTGCAGCAGTGTCGGAACTAGGGTGTTATGCGCCCGGTGCCACTGTCCGGCATTCCAGAAAGTGGCACCGGGCCATAAAATATTTTCAAAAATAGCAAAATTCGTCTATCTGTACTGGGTCTCGGTATTGTTCTCATGCGATGAGCAAAAGCGCAATTAAAATCACCTGTGATACATTTCTTAACTTTTTTTGGTAAACGTTTTACATCACTTTTAAATTTCATTTATGTATCCAGCACGTAGTATTTTTAAGTCTTGAGCAACTATTTATAAGTTGTTGCAAGCACTCGGTTATCTCCTAAAAGTCGCAATATCATTTATAAATTGTACATCGACGGCAGAAAACGTTTTTGTCGTGTCTCGAAGTATCCAACGTAATATAAATTTACACCAGAGACCATAAACTATTTTAAAACTTTATAACTCGTAAAGTTTTTCATATTAACATTTATAGAAAGAGTAAAAAATAAATTAATGAGGTATCATTTACATTCTTCGCCATAGGTAGACAGACAACACATAGATTATTCCACGGGGCTTTTTTGTCTGATCGATTACATAGTAAGTTTTACGTTTTAGAGCAATTGCCGAGATATGACGTTTCCACAGACTGCGTCGGTATGCTTGTACATAATGGTGGACATCTGCGATAAAGTTTATTATTATTATTATTATAATTTTTGTGTGTTTGTAACAAAAATCGTACAGACAATCGTTAATAACAACAATGGCGATAAATCTATATTTTAGCTTTAAAATTCCCAACTTATATTGTCTGGAAATTAAAATAATTTTGCCTGGACCCTATTTTAACTTGTGATAACATAAGGAACCCCTTTGAAAACTCATGCCACCCTTAATTTTAGGCTGTTCACTGTCTGCTAAAATGGCATCTAGGAATTAATTAATGAAATAAACTGAACTACTGTACTGTAAGTAGACTGCACGGAAGGCATAGTGGTTGCGGTCACCTTACCGCTTCCTACTGCGCTGATTGTGTTGGGTCCGATCCCACATGGGACGACACTTTGTGTGATCCACAAATTGTTGTTCTGAGTCTGGGCGTTCTTTGTGTTTTTCCATGTATGTTTGTAAAGTCCACCGCGACACTGAGTATATTTCTTGTGCGTAAGTTGTCTTTTAAAACGAAAAAAGGGTATCATTAGGCTTTGTGCCGCTTGGGGGACCTTGGCAGTAAGTATTTAAAAAAATATATTAATGAATTCAGTTACAAAGGAACAAGTGGTTTTTATAACCTTGCCAGAACTTTTTTCAAGGTACATTGTTGTTTTTTTTATTTATACGTAAAAATTATGAATACAAAGTAACAAAAATACTATAATTTATACAATAAAGTATACGGTTGTCCTTTAAAAGAACTTAAATTGGGTCACTGCTATTTATTGAAAAAAACCTTTGTGTTTTTAAGGTTCATAATATTAATATAAGCAGCCTAAAAATAATTAAAACGGAAATCGGTTTTACGTATTTATAATAACTAGAGGTTGTGTTGGTCGATTTTGGATTATAGTATATTATATTTAAATTATAGTAAATTTTATTGTTTATTGACGACCGGATGGCGTAGTGGTTTGTGTAACGGACTGCTATTCCAGAGGTCGCGGGTTCGATGCCCGCTCAAGTCAAACATTTGTGTGCATGAACATTTAATGTTTGATTTGGTTTGGGTGTTTCTATGTATAAATGTATGTATTTACAAAAAAAAAGTAATGTATTTATATCAGTTGTCTAGTACCCATAGTACAAGCTCTGCTTAGTTTGGGACTAGATGGCGTTGTGTGTATGTTGTAGATTATTATTATTATTATTAATTCATTGGCCATTATAACTTCAACAGTCATATTGTATAGACTTAAGCACCACGACAGATCAAAATGTATACTGGACGCCTGTTGTATCATCATCATCATCAATAGCCTATACTAGTCCACTGCTGGACATAGGCCTCTCCTTAGAAAGGAGGTTTTGGCCTACTATACCACGCTGGCCAGACGGGTTGGTATAGGATTTGTTTCAAGTGTTCCTTCTCTCTGCAGTGCTGTTGTCCTGCGTAGTTTGCTTCCTTATCCTGTTGTATATAATGTTTAAATTAAACACTCTTTAAAAGTCGTAACTTTCTCCAATTCTTATATTTACATATGTATACACATGATTTGTCTAT